CTGTCCCCAGGTTCAGGCTCAGACTGTGAGAAGCTTTGGCCTAGGTGCGACAACTCTCCTTCAGACTGCTGCTGTTGGTTAAAAAAATTGAGCTGGCTCCTGCCTGCCTGAGCTAGCAATGACTAGGGCAGTATGGCATGTGCAACTTCAAGTTTGCAGGCTAGAGATGAATCAGAGATGTGCAGCTCAAGCCTGTGACAATTTCCAATGAGAAGTTCACACCACATCACATGTGCACAAGGTAGCCTGTGAAACATTCATGTTCATCAACCACACCACTTCATTTCTTATAGCCAGCATCTTCTCACAATCTTTTTAACAGCTTTAATCAAGCTTTCCCTGACACCTTGCTTTTTCTTCCCTTACCCCCTGTGGCTTTGCCAGCCATGAACCGAGACTCTTCACAACCAGCCCAAAAAAAAAGAAAACTTGGAGGAATTCAACAGAGACTAGCCAAGGCTGAAGCTCAGGACAAAGAAAACGCTCTGAAACAGAGAGAAAGACTTGCATTCAGCCTGGTTACCAAATGGGCATGGGGGCACTTATCCCCACAGGAAGTTCAAAGCACTGCAGCAGATGCAATTGCAGATATGAAATCCTTTGGGATGGAACAGTTGCCACAGTGGCTGTCAAAGTTTGCAGCCCTTGGATCCGATGGGGTGCATCCAAATAACATGCACGCAGAGCTTCTCAAAATGTTTGAGCCACAGTCTTCAGTGCCCAAGCCCTTGGTGGTTCACTTGGACTTCAAGGGCCAACATGCCCTGCAGTCTTTGATGCTGCCCCACGAACTTTTTTCAGCTCTCTACCACTATTATCCCAGCACCTTCCAGAAGCACTTCATGCCAGGGGGACATGAACAAGTGTCCAAGTTTTGGTCCAAGTTTGCTCAGCACCCTTCAATGGAAGGGCATGAAATTTTCGCCTTGAAGAACTACAAGCACAGAGCTTTGCCACTCAATCTCCACGGTGATGGAGTGCCAATAACTGGCAAAGGCAAAGTCTGGGTCAAAATGATGTTGACTCTGAGCTGGACTGGGTGTTTGGCAGAAGGAAGCAGCAAGGATACCTGTAATCTCATCTGGGGTGTGCCTTGGAAGGAATTAATTTTGCCACATTTGTATCAATGTGTTCCAAGCCTGCAACATGGGAAAGTTATTTGAGAGTTATTGCAAAATTATTTGAGAGAAATTGGAGATTTATTTGAGAAAAAAATCACTTTGCTTGGATTCAGTGCTTTCAATACATAAAGCACATTCAGGTCTACGAGTCAGTCCTCAAGAGTGGCCCTGGTGGCACTTTGGACCAAGCTTTCAAAATCATTTCCTGGAGCTTCAACACATTGTTGACTGGGAAGTGGCCTTCACAAGATTGGCATGGAAACCAGCTTTGTCCTTAGAGACCCAGCAACTTCACCTGTTTGGAAAGAAATTGATCTGGTCATGGAATTCTGTATTTTTTCTGATTGAATTCATGCTATGCCTCCTAGGTTCCCTTCTTCTTCCTTGGCAGGAAAAAGAGCCAACACCTGGTTGGCCAGTGGATATCTTGGGGTCCTAACAGGGATCCTTGGAGATCTGGACTACCTGAGTGGCACCCTTCAGCTGCCAAGATGGTCCAGAAACATCAATTCATGTGCCCTGTGCCTCTGTGATGCTCAGGGCCCATACTCTTGGAAAGTGTTCAAGCCAGATGCTCCCTGGGTCAGCAAATGCTGGACACCTTCCACTTGGTCTGCCTGGGAAGGTAGAAGCAAATGTGGCCTTTTTGAAATCCGACATCTTACAGCAGTGAATGTGCAATGTGATTATATGCATGCAAAATACCTGGGAACAGAAGTGGTGGCTTTTGCCAGTGTGCTCTGGCTCGCCATTTTTGTGGCTGGATCACAATCACCAGCCAAAAACTTGGCTGACTTCCAAAAGCACTTGAAAAGCTACTACCAAGAACACAACACAGCTTCAAGATTTTCTGCCTTCAATTCCTACAAATATTTCATGAACAAGAAGGGGATGAAGTTGAAAGGCAAGGCTGCCCAAGTCAAAGCCTTTGGGCAGCCTTTGCTTGAATTTTGGCAGAAGGTCTACAACCCGAGTGTCTCTATCCACAAGCTTGTTCTGGTGTACATGAAGCTCAATGTGAAATGTGAAGAGTTAATGGATGCCAACAGAGATGAGATCCATTTTAGCAACTGGACTTGCAAGCAGTTTCAACCCACACCTCAGTTGTATGTCATGCTGCATTTGCTGAAGACACTGTTCTTGTTTGCAACCATTTGTTTCCACCAAACTTTTCATGTGCATCTGCATGAGGCGACACAGATGCAGCTGAATTCCAAAGAGCCATGTTCCAAATGGCACACGTGCACCATGTGCTCTGGGAACACTTTGATGGGGAAGATGTCCCCAATGGGATGTTTGCTGTCACAAGCAAATTGCATTGGCTCATGCATGCAGCTTTGATGGCTGCAAACATCTCACCTAGAAAAGTTTGGTGCTTCAAAGGCGAAGATTTTATGCGATGTACACAGACTTTGGCTGCCAGCTGTGTGAGTGGAAACCAACTCATCACAAGCACGTTGAAAATGATGCAGCACTGGAGAGTTGGAGCCCATCTTCAATGGGCTGAGGGCTAAGACCCACAGATCCAAAGCGAATGAGAAAAAATGAGAAGCTTTTACTGGATGTTCATGTGCACTGTCATGAGTGAACAATGATGGAAGCTTGAGCTGAGCAGTTGTTGCAGCATATGCCCTCTGGCAGTCACACCTTGTTTGCAACCAATGTTTGAAAGATAGTTGGAAGTTATTTGAGAGATATTTGAGAGATCTTTGAGAGATATTTGTGGCAGTTATTGAAGACATCCATTGGCCCCAGAAGATAAATGATACAAATTACCTTGGGAAAAAAAAGGTAAATTGTATGAATAACCTTTCAGAACAAAAGGTAACTTGTACAAATAACCTTCAAAAAAAAAGGTAAATTGTATGAATAACCTTAAAAATAGGTTAGGTTATTTGATTGGATAACCTAAAGGGTTCTGACTAATAGTTAGTTTCGTTTTATCTATTAGGCAGAAAATAGTCTATAACCTAAAAGCACCTTTTTAACCTAACCTCATCTTCAGGGTATGAGCTCTCGTGGCGAGGTGACGGCTGCTGGGCGAACGACGATGGGAGCTGGCCCTATGGGAGTGATTCCAGTTGGAGGTCCTGAAGCACCACGAGCTGATGGAGGCAATCCGCTGTTGGCGGCACTGCGGGCTGAGAGGGCATCGGAGAACCCTGGAGGTCCATCTTCGTCGAGCCTGGGATCGTCTTCAATTCCTGGGACCTGGACGGTTGGTGGGGATCCTGGGATTACAACTCCCAGGGGCTCTGTGGCGAAATCGTGGGCTCGCCGACCGGAGCTTGTGGTGAACACCCTGAGTGCACCCTACAGAGCTGAACGGAGAGGAGAGCCGGTGCCAGAAGGCCTGGAGGAAGAGAGTTTCCAAGAAGAAGCATTGGAGTCCGAGGAGGAGGTCAGCGATTACTCCTTGGTCACCGATGAGGAGCATAACCGTGGAGGAACCCCGGATCACGAAGAGGAGGACATGTGAGAGCCGGGCATCACCTCCAAAGCCCAGCGAAGACTGGGGTTTTTGGTCTTTTGGACCGCCACCGACATGCTGCAAGAGCAGCATAGGGGAGTGTGGTGGCATTTTCAATTTGGATGGACACGCACAAATCAAGAAGTGTCCTCATGTACCAGGGGTTTTACATGCTTCAGTCGTCTCACTGGCATGGCCCCTGCACAAGCGAATGACACGCACTTTTGTATGGCTCAAGAAATAGGCGGCCCTTTTGCTGCCTAGGGTTTTTCCCCCGTTTGGGGCTCGCAGATTCAAATAATGGTTGGTCAATGGGATAGTTCAAATAATTGGGTTTTACCACAATAATACAGTACTTGTTCTAGAAGCAGCATCTTTACCCTCTGGTAATGACTAACATAGCTATTGAACATTTCCATAGAAATAGTTGATTTACCCATAAAATGATTATCTTCTCTGATTTTCTACAGTTATGTTTGTTTACCAGAGGGTAATTGGTCTAGAGTCAGCATGTTTTTACATTTGTCACATGTAATCCTGCAAGTTGGTTATTTGCCTGGCTGAAGTTCATCATAATTCACTAACCTGAAAATAGCTGCAATGTGGGGCCCCCTAGATAGCTAAGTTGGTTTATAACTTCAATAACTAGGGTTTATGATACTTACAACCAAAGTTAATGGGGTTTATAAACCAACTTATAACTGGGGGGCTCCACATTGTGTTATTATACGGCCAGCCATGGGAATTATTTCCCAGTACAAAGAATACAAATAAACCATCATTCCCATAACGACACAATGTCATGTGAGGTCATAATCAAATTCATCCAGATTAATCAGATTAATTGATATTAATTATATATAGCAACCCCCAAACAGAAACTTGGAATACCTTATTCATCCTATACAAGTCAAACACATGAGTGGTCTGCACCATTTTCCATTTTATTCCAGATAGTATAGATGGGAAATTCTGATCTGTAGATATCTATACCATCCTGGTCTCACACTTTCCACATTTTTTCCACATATTTTTCTTCCACATATTTTCCATATACCCTATGGATCCAAAGACAGTCTGAGAAGGTACTTGACCCCCTAAATCATACCCCAAGTACTTCCTAAGAAGGCACTTGGATCCACAGGGATATATTATTTTCCATATATTTTCCATATATTTTCCATATATTTTCCATATATTTTCCATATAATCACTGGTTGGTGATTTCAACCCCTCTGAAAAATATGGAAGTCAGTTGGGATGATTATTCCGTATATGGAAAAATGTTCCAAACCACTAACCAAATCTCTACATATATATATATATTATATACTATGTTTTTTTTCAATCTTTAACATCGCCATGACTCTATCACGATGACCCCGATGACCTCCCACGCACCGCGCAACCTACCGCGCAACGCAGCAACGTAGCCCAGCTTCCGTGGTGTAGTAGAAACGTCCCAAGCACACGCGACCTCGAAATCGGAGGCCGAGAGCACCTGTTTCCATACGAAAGTACAGTTAAAGCCCTAGTTTTACCAGGAAAAACATAGGAAAATAGTGATTACATGGTGGTTTTAATGGGGTTGTAACTTGTAAACAGAATAATTGGTGATTTTTATGGGGACTTAAATGGAGACTTCATGAGTAAACCAATAATCAACCACTCATGTGTTGATGGTTTATTCAGGTTTATGGTCAAAATAGGCATGTTTTAACCAATTATTGTTTTACCAACATGAGTGAACTATGAGATGATGATGTTTTCCACAAAGTTTCCAGCCTTCCAAGGTGTTTTCATCATCTTTTCTGGGGTTCCTATAGGTATGGTTTCTTCCCAAAGAACATGTCATATTTGCAGCTAAACCGACAATGACCGTCCCATTACACTCTTACGCTGGATCGTTACTAGATATTGCCTATAGGTTATATCTATCAGTTGAAGCCATTGAATCTTTAGCAGTTGTAAATGGTTATAACTGGGCTTATCATTCCATAAGTAGGGTGACTTGCTGACTTATAGCTGCTATTTCGGACCATAACTGTAATGCTCCCCAAGAAACAAATTTGTATAACCAACTATAGTGACCAATCAAAAGTATTCAAAAGGTGACGTATCTTTCATGATTTTCATGGCTCAACTCGGATAGGCCCCTCCTTGATAAATCGCTAAGTTGGTGAAGGTTGAACTAACTCCAATGTCACTATGGTATTTACTGTATATATATATACAGTATATTACGAAGTGGCTGGCTAGTGGGCTTTACTAACCAACCAGCCAACCAACCAACCACCTTACTAACTGGAGCCTCCGTCAACTCATGTTACAGAGTTGTCACTGCAAGGTACACAAGAGCAGCGCAAAGACGTTCTCATAATGTCCGTGGTCGTCCATGGCGTGCTCGTCCGCCTCCAAAAAATGCGTGGCGTGCTCGTCCCGGAGGGTCGTCCGAGGTACGTGACTATTTCTACAGATGTTGATGATATCTTGATAAAAAAAAAGGGGTTGTAAAATTTATGGGCATATAAAAGTTAGTGGCTGAAATACTCTTAAAAAAAATGGGTTTGGCTAATGATCTACCCTGAATCCATTTGGTAATCATCATATTTCCAATTATGGGTATCGGAGTTGTCAGGTAAACCCATATTTCTCACTGAAACATTGGGATATTCACCCAATCTTGTGAGATTTTTTATGATGTTTCATATGTACAGTGACTCTTGCTGAAATCAAGATATCACCGTGCTGATGTTTTTTGGTGAGTAGGGTTGGGAGTGGAAGACAAATCAGCTTTCATCATCCAAGTCGTGATCATTTTTACCCCTCCCGTTTGAAACCATGCTGTACCCTCTGGTAATGTAACATAGCTATTGAAAATGGCCCAGTCGAAATAGTGGATTTACCTATTAAAAAAGGTGATTTTCCATGGTTTTTTGTTAACGTTTACCAGGCCGGGTAACTTGGATAATTTTTCAACCATGGGACTCATGAGGTTTTCGGGGCTGTGAAAAATGACAGCCCCAATGACTTTTTCTTTCAGGACCCATGAGATCATTTTCACCATGAAATGGCTTTGGGTACGAGGCTTCTGGCCATGGTGAACATCTCAAAATAGAATTTCTGGCCATTTTGTTCCGCTCATTTTGGGTGCTGTTAATCCATTCCTAAAAGATGCTCGTCATCTCAACCAATCATAAATGTTTGAAACCATCAACCCGTGACTGCCAGTGTTTCTTCCAAGGGTCGATAGACGACCGCGGAAAATTTCAACATCTACCATATGGAATGTTCAACATCTTAAGGATAGCCAGGAAAAAACATGTTTAGCTGGGCATGAAATAAAAAAGAAAAGTCCAGTAATACTAGTGACTTTATATGAATTTATTGGTTTTTATTGGTAATGGATGGAAAGTACCTCTACAAAAGTTCGGGGATCTTCCAGTATATTTTGGCCAATACTACATCCACTATCTTTCCGGACCAAGATTTACACCTTCCATTTACAAGCTTTGCTACCCATCGACGGACAGAACCTTAGTGCAGCTCTCCGCGAATCGAAGACCAAGCTTGGCCCTTGGACAGTTTAGGATGCGACTAAGAAAATCAGTGTATGGTATTGAGTGGGATTAAGCAACAAAGTTCTGGGGATCTATTTGATTTATTATCAACCACAATATGATTTTGGGTGTCTCAAATGACCATTTCAATACTTGATGATGAATCACTGGATTTTGGGGAAACATACTTTCAGACAAAGCCAAAGATCAAAGCAGTATTCAAAACCCGTCGTCCATTTGTACTGGTTGGTTGAGAACGGGATTCCTCTAATGAATTATGATAATCCCAAATAAATAAAGATTAGTATGATCCCCGAACTAATCCATCAACCATCATTTACCAGGTATATCCACACAAATATCCCCATAGATTGATGTGTTTTTTCCCTAACCCCTATCAAAGTTCAATTCTCAACCAGGGTAGATCGCCGAGATTCGTCTCGTCTGATCCTGCCCATGGCCAATCCACAGGATACGAACCACACAGGTATGGAAAAATAATGCTATGGTGGATGGGCCAGCGAAATCCGAATCACCAGTTGGTGGTAAACATCCCATGATCTTGTTGGGGTTTCTTCCCCATCCTTTTGGTGGTGCAGGATTTGGCAACCATCCACAGTATGAAATATTATCAAAAAAAAGCTTTAGCCTATTATCCCTCCGTTTGTACCCGTAAAATGTTTTACGTTTTACTCTATAGTCTTAGCTTACTTTTACCATTGTTTGGGGGTACAAACGGAGGGTCTAGGTAAATTGAAACGAGTGACCTCTAAGCAGAAGTTCAAGCCGAATGTTTCGCAAAAGATTTGTGTTTGCTCCTAGGGAATATAACATGATAGCCATTTACCTTCAGTATGCAGTTCCAGCACATATGAAAAGTAGCCTCTATGTGTCAAGATCAAGATCCACAGTCATTCAGGAACAAACCAGGAAAAGAGAAAAACTACCACACCTGCGGCCAAGTCCAAGAAATCGAAAGCTCTCCGGATGTTGGTACCATACCTGCATGGCTGAGAAATGATGGGGCACGGCATAGAAGTGGGTCATGACCAAATAAAAACTGCAGGGCAACCAAGAGTTGATTTGGGACTATAGCCCCATTTACGAGGCATATAACGTGGACGCAACGACATGTGTCTGAATCAAAATTTGAGAGACACCAGTGGCAGCAATTAGATGAAATAAACGATAAAACTTTAAAAACAAGTCTGCTTTATGCAGACTACAGAGTCAAAGCATCTGAAAATGATACACTACTGGTTGGTGGTTAAAAAAACATCTTGAAAAATAATAGAGTTCGTCAATGGGAAGGATGACATGCCATATATTATGGGAAATAAAAAATGTTTGAAACCACCAACCATTAATCACTACTCACCTGAGCATCATTCTTTACATCCTGAGTGTCACCAAGTGTTGCGGGCTCTGTGGGGCACTACACCCCAACGCATGGTCTATAGTCTATAGTTTAGACTCAAAACATACTTGTTTTAGAGGTTTGAAGCCAATCCCTAACATATGAACATTTACATCGGGATCAAATAATCATTCTCAGGAAAGCTGAAAAGTGATTGATAGATATAATATGTTGCGATTAAACGCAAAAGAGGCAAATAAGAATGACAACAAACTTTTGACCAACATGACATAAGCGATGTTGGGGATGATTCCCCTTACCAACCATCAGTTTTTATGTTCATGATAGTGAAGTCTTGTAAAGTCTCTTCAATTTGACCAGAGCTATACCTGCCGGTTCATCCCAGTTAGTAAGTACCCTCTGGTAAACATACAAAAAACTATGGAAAATCACCATTTTTAATGGGTAAATCCACTATAGATCACCATTTTCAATAGCAAACTGTTGGTTTACCAGAGGGTAGGTTATAGCCCGAATTCCAAGTGATTAAGCCCCGGTTAGCCCAGGGAAAAACTGGGGTGAATACACCCACTACCCAGCCAGTACCCTCCTGTAAACTAACATACAATGTGGAGTCCCCCAGCTATAAGTTGGTTTATAAACCCCATTAACTATAGGTGTAAGTATCATGAACCCTAGTTATTGAAGTTATTTCAACCAACTTAGCTATCGTGTGGGGGCCCCACATTGTAGATGTGAACAACAGGTCCACCTTTTTGTAGATCATTTTCCGCAGAAACCTCTATGGTTTTCCACATCTATGTACACGTTTACCCAAAAGTCGTGGCCCTGACTCTGACCAGTTATAAGTACTGAAATAACACCATTTATGGTTTATGTATCATCCCATAGATTCATAACCACTTAGTTCACAAGAATAATTTATTGTTTTTTTACAGCCATGGCCATAACTGTAGGATTTTCCGAAACAGTCCGAAACATTTTGACGCCGTCAAGGCACCAGAGGTATGCCTCGTTGCTACTTGGCTCCAAGTTTGCAAGTACCTGGTGGAAAAATCCGGATTCCAGTCCGAACGTTCGGTGCTCTCGTTTAACCGATAACGTTCAGTTGGTGAACATAACTTTAAGAACTATCTAGGGTTTATAGGTGATATATCGAACTAGTTAATTTGGTGCAAATAATTCCAATAACCTATGGTTTTTGTTGGTGATATATCGAACTAGTTAATGGGCAAATAACAGCTATGTTCTGGTAAACGTGTACAGTTTGCGAACTTGAACATGGTGATTTAGTTCGTTGATTTACGCATTGAGCATGATGATTTTCCATAGCTATGTTAGTTTACCAGAGTGTAGGGCTTATGATACGCGAATAACTATAGTTGATGGGGTTTATAAACCAACAAACATAACTGAGGGGCCCCACATTGCAGTCTTTTAATTTAAAATGATCTTTCATTGAAAAGATTATTTTCGGCGTCTGGTATGATATTTATATATATTTATATACTATAAACTATACACACGTTTGTATCAGAACAACATCTACTTACTGGTGCTTAGTAGGGAATGGATGGGAATGGGGGAATGGGATGATTATTACTAGTGATTATGGATCATTCCCTCTTTCCCTACTAAGCACCAGTAAGTAAACCATATGAATATATCATGCAGTCGCAATGAATGCCCATCCTATATATGTAATTGTTCATATTGGAACATCCAATGATTAATATGGCGGAAAACTACGAACAAATCACAGACCGGAACATAGCTGTTATCATGGTAAACGTTAATAAAAGTCTATAGAAAATCACCATTGTTCATGGGTAAATCCACTATAAATCACCATTTTCAATAGCAAACTGTGTTTACCGGAACATAACTGCTACAGTATCAGGATGCCATTTGGGAATTCTTCCCCTTACTACCCATGAAGTTCCAGTGACGTCACGTTAAGTGGGGTTATGATCAAATTCATCCTGCCAGTCAGAATGATTCAATGAATTGGCTGAAGGGAACAACCCTGCTTTTGTCTCATAACACCTGGATAAACATGGGGTTTCCTACAAATGTTCCCTGAAACCAATCGAGATAGAATGGACTCATATCAACATAAGTCGGCAAAGACATCCCTTAAATAAATCATATCATATCCCAGTTCTAAATCATTTCTATCTCATAGATCTACTATATATAAATATCTCCCTTCTTGGTTTTTTCCCCCAAAAAATCACATGATTTCCACATCAAACAAGGGCCCAGTGGCATCCCCACCTCCTTGAGCTGCGGATATTTGGCCACGGCCAATTGGCTGGACATCTCCAAACACTTCAACGCATCACCTTTGGGAAGTTTCACAGTGGAAAAAAATGCTATGTGGATGAATAAGTTGAGTATACTTGGTTATTGAGTTGAGTATTGAGTATTTATTGATTTCTTTCTCCAGATTATTTTGTCATATTGAAAAAAATCATTTTCCAAGCTGGATCAAAAAGTTGAGAATTGATCCAGCTCGATGAATGGCCCGTTGTGCGGCTTACCAGTGGATCACGCGTGGGGGGATGATTCACGCTATCGGTAGCTATCGGGCTATCTTTCCCTGTGGATCGGTAACAATGATGTATGATGTGGGACTAGGATTGTTCATAATTATGATAAGCTAGTAATATCTAGTAATGATTATTCAAAAAAAACAAGTATAGTACTAGTCATGAATAATTACTAGCTTATCATAAGACTGTATATATATATATATACATACTATGATTCATGCGAGGCAACATCGATCTTTTGCGTCTGAATTTGATGATATTTTGTTGGTTTTCCAGCGGCAAGCGTGGGCCAACACCTTATTATTTTTTGTATTCTCGATAGCAACTTTGCAAATCTGGGGAGATATCATCATATCCAACCTGACTCCCGAAATCTACAGATTGTGTTCGCAACAGAACACCTCCAGCAGAACGCCAGGAATCATTTCGGACAAGACACGTCTCTGTTGGATCTCTTTTCTTTTCTTCACCTCTGCGACGTCTCACTGAGTGGAATGAGAAGCGACGCCAAAATCTCGCGAGCTGCATGGAATGATACGAAGTCTATATGGATGGCCCCCCGGATATGTATATGTAATATGTGTATATATGCTCCAGGCCCTGCCACCCCCCCCATGGGTTGGGTACCCCCCCTCCCCCCCTGTGGTCATGGGTGTTTCCCCCTCCCCCCCCTGTGGCTGGTAGTGGCCTTGTATGTCCATACCCATGTCTTCGTCTTTGCATGCTGGTATGGTATGTTGGGTATGTTTCACATGTATGGTATGTGTGGTATGCATGATAGGTAAGATAGGTATGGTATGCATGGTTACTATGATGGGTATGGAATGTTTCCTATGTAAGGTAGGTATGGTATGTATGGCATGTATGTTTGGAATTGTATGTATGGTAGGCGTGGTGATTATGCTTCATATGTATGGTATGTGTGGTATGCATGATAGGTAAGATAGGTATGGTATGCATGGTTCCTATGATGGGTATGGAATGTTTCCTATGTAAGGTAGGTATGGTATGTATGGCATGTATGTTTGGAATTGTATGTATGGTAGGCGTGGTGATTATGCTTCGTATGTATGGTATGGGTGATTATGCTTCGTATGTATGTATGGATCCCCAGAGGCGAGCTACCCCCTCCCCCCCCAACCCATGGGGGGGGGGGGGAGAGACGGAGGACGGGACCATATATATAATATAGATACATAATATATACATATATGTAATATATATATATATATATATATACATATACATATATTTACACAGTTGGAACCTTACTGTTATAATAATAGGAAAACGTATAGTTATAATCCAAGTTGTGAACATGTCTCATCGCCCCAGTGACATAGCCAGTCATGGACGTGGCCCTGAAACGCAAGGCGTTCAGCGCATGGAAGGCCACTGGAAGACCTGGAGTGCCACCCACTTGGACCTTGGAGATACGGAAGATCACAGGGCGGGGCCCCTGACAAAACCCTAGAATCAGATGGGTCATGATGGACTTGATTGGTGATTTTACGATATGTTCATGAGATTTTGAGAAGGGATTATATGGGATTTAGATATTTGTAACTCTAAAAACTATGATTTCTGGCCCCCCATCTGCCCCACCTTGTAACTGTTTCGCAACTGCGGTTCGTTTCCCCATTGATCAATGGGATGAGCCGCGGAAACGTGCTGTAAAAAATGATAATGGGATTCGAGGTTTGAAATCTGTGAAATTGCGGTGGAGTATACGGCTCCTAACCATCAAAAAGCCGCCTTTTCCAATATATAGTATAATAGAGCACTTCTATCTGTTTTATTCAACAGATATAATTGGGGGAAGTAGATTTAATCAACATTATACAAACATAATATATCATCACATATGAAAAATATAGTACATTGTCCGCAACCTTAACGCTCGCCCAGACTCATGATTGTGACATAACAGAACAATATGTTGATTCGGGAAAATAACATCAACTTTATCTTCATGAGGGATCAAAAATCGCCACCCCCTCTGAACAATACGTTGATTGGGATAATAACATCAACTTTATCTTCATGAGGGATCAAAATTCGCCACCTCCTCAGAACAATATGTTGATTGGGAAAATAACATCAACTTTATCTTCATGAGGGATCAAAATTTGCCACCTCGTCAGAACAATATGTTGGTTGGGGAAATAACATCAACTTTATCTTCATTGAATGGGGTAATAACATCAACTTTACCTTCATGAGGGATCAAAATCAGGAAGGCGGGACATCAACTCCGGGCAAACGTTCAGGTTGCAGTGTGCATATTATATAACTACATACGACTACATGTATATATATATATATACCAAAAGTATCCAAAAGTGTTTAGTTTGAAAGCATGTTCCGCATCAAAGAATTCATGGTCACCGGTGACCAAACCTGGCATTTCTGGGAGTATTTCTGGGAGCCCAAAATCTACTGGTTGCTGATGCCCAAACATGGCTTGTGGCTCAATGTCATGGTTCAGTAAACGGTCCTGTTCGTGCTTTGAGATGTTCAGCAGCACAATCAGCAGCTGGTAATTTAGTCAACTAGCCTCTGGTAATTCTACCATAGCTATTGGAAATAACCTATTTTAACAGGAAAATAGAATCGTCTATATATATGTTGTAAATGGCACTTTTCATAGCTATGCTACCCCTATGCTAAATCACCAGAGGGTAAATGGATCATTCAATGGGCGATTTCAACCGACAGAATTCACCAAGACACACAAGGACATGGTGCTGCTCTCGCACAGTGTTGGGGACACCGCCTGACCAGCCAAAGATGATAAGGTAATCGAACCGGGTGGCTAATCAAAAAAAACATGGAACATTAAACATTTAAGATGTTCTAACTGATGATCTAGCTTCACAGTGCATGTTTTAGTATGGCTCACATCATTTCAGCTATCGGTAGAGGATGGATGTCAGCAGCCAGCCGCTGGCCAAGCCTCTCGTGTGTCACAGTGGAGCGGTATGTAAAATCCAGCAGGTTTTGCAGAATGGGAATTTCCTAAGGAAGATGCATCAGCGTCAGAAGACAGGTAGCTCTTTAAGATGCTTTTTTGCTTCTCAAACAGCCCCGACAATCTCTCGAATTCCAGACGGATCTCCAATGTTTCGAAGGCACATCAGAGAACCATCCGAGGGGATTTGCTAAAATGCGAGTTTCTCCAAATCATCCATTTTAGTATTACCCTCTGGTAATTTAACATAGCTATGGAAAATGGCCCATAGAAATAGTGAGTTTTCCCATGAAAAACTGTGAGTTGCCATAGTTATGTCAACGTTTGCCAGAGGGCAGTTTCCATAAGAAAAACCATCCACTCATCCAGCTATTTGGGTACCATGACTATGGAAACCATTGGAAAGCCTTAAAATCACCCACGATGAAAAAGGGAACACCGCCTTGAGGCGGGTGTGGGTTTTCTACAATTGTGTACTTGGTGATTGAATCAAAAATCACCTTTTTACACTGTAATTTACAGTATTTTGTGCTTGTGATCTATGATGTTTTGACGTTTGCTGCAAGATGTCAAAATGCCAAAAAAAAACTTTTGCAATTCCGCAACATCTGCTTGAGGTTCAATGCATTCTTTTTTTCCTCAGTGCTCTTTCAGTCGAAAGGAACGTTATCATCCCCCCCCCACCCCCCCACCCCCCCACCCCCCCTCCCGGTCAAGGTAGCAAGACGTCAGCAACAAAGTTGGGCAACGTGTCTTCGGTAGCGTCATCTTACAGTCGAAAGGAACGTTATCATCCCCCCCCACCCCCCCTCCCGGTCAAGGTAGCAAGACGTCAGCAACAAAGTTGGGCAACGTGTCTTCGGTAGCGTCATCTTACAGTCGAAAGGAACGTTATCATCCCCCCCCACCCCCCCTCCCGGTCAAGGTAGCAAGACGTCAGCAACAAAGTTGGGCAACGTGTCTTCTGTAGCGTCATCTTACAGTCGGCAAGAGCGTTAAACACGTATACTGCCAAAGAGCACAAACGTGGGAAAAACCACGCCCGCCTCGGGGCGTTGACCCCAAAAAGACCATCATTGACGATATATTGATGATATTAACCACATATTAGCCATATATTAGCAATATCTTGAGGTACTCTACCATATCGCAAGATTGCTTGGTATGCTTGGTACTGTACCCCTAGCCGGCCCTAGCCGCGTCGAGCGACACTTGGCAGCATGTAGGACACGGTAGACTCAGCTCTCACCTCCAGCTTTCGAAGGTGGAACTGGTGGTTCTCCCATTACTTTAGAATCTTAATGGGTACATCATGGGTATATACTGGTTATATACTGATGGGATAATAATCATGATGGGATAATTAATGATGGGATAAAAATGGGATAATGATGAGATACTGATGATGAAACAAAACATATATAATATATCTTTAACACAGAACTAAAACATGATGATTGTCCATGGCTATATCAAAATACCATTCGGTACAAGTCAAAGTATTAAATCACTGGTTGACGTATTTAAAAATGTTTGTTCTAGATGATGTTTATTATTTTAATGTATTCAAATATGATTTCATCGCCAGAAAATGTGGTTCCCAAGTGGTTGAGTAAAACAGTAAGAGTTGATGGTTTCCCAGAACTAATCCTATCATTTTTGGGGGACTTCGATGGACGAAATGGTCATTATATACTGTGAAATAACACAAACATAGGGAAATAACATGAAATAACTGATTTCAATGGAATTATAACTGGTGTTTTTTAGAAAGTGATTCCTAGAAAGTGATGAATCATTGTGATTTTAGTGATGAATCTGTTGATGGGCCAGCGAAATCCTGCACCAGTTGAAAACGGTGGTAAACATCCCATTATCATCCATTATCTATAGGGTCTATAGGGTTTCAACCATCCAAAATTGGTGATTTTGAGGATTTCGCTGGGCCACCCACAGTATTTCATCTCCCATTGATGACTGGCAGAACGTTGTGCCAAGCCTTGATGACCCGATGGAACATACTACAGAAATCCATTCCCATCGGTTCAAAATGGTTCAAATGTGTGTCTAGAAATGGGGTATACCAAGTGATGGCTATTTTAATAGGGAAAATCATCAGTTAACCATGAGATTTTGCTGATTGTCGCCATCATTTAAACAATTTATAGATGATTTTCGCATAAACAACCTCCATGTATAGGGGGATTTCCAATTGGTACAGTCATGGCCATTTACCAGTTATAAGTCGGTGACATAACCCCATTCATGGAATGTTATAATGTAGGAAAATCAATAATAAACCGGACATTTGGGAATTGTTTGTAGCACCTATTTATGGTGATTTGGTTGACTGTTTATTATTGTTTTAACCACATTAGTTGATTATTAATCCCATTGCCCTCCGGCAACCAATCATGGTATTCAAACATACCTATTTTCGGTTTTACGGGGAGAAGCGTCAATATCCGTCGTCATAAGGGATTGCCTATTGCCACGTTTGATTACCAGCGGGTAATTTTTTGAATTGGACTATCTGTTTCATGTGCACATCGACAAATACATACTGTCATCTTACTGGTTCTTGGAAATGGGGGAATGATCCAATAATCACTAGTAATAATCATCCCATTGCCCCAATTCCCATCCATTCCCTACGTTTAGCACCAATCATTTTTTACTGAAGCAAGCACGACAAACGTTTTTCGCGACCAGGCTTGGATTATTTTAAATTCTCCAAGGGGCTGATCTTCACATTTTTTCCTGTTCTCCCCATAAACATCACATTTTGGGTTTCATAAATTAGAATTAACCCCATTGAATTAGCATTTAGGTTTCTAGGCTTTAACTATTTTAGCTGTAGCTGGTTGGTGGTTGAGCCACCCCTCTGAAAAATCATGGAGTTCGTCAGTTGAGATCATTCTTCTCAATAGATGGAAAAATAAAACATGTTGCAAACCACCAACCAGATTAGCATTTTGGTTTCTAGCCTTTAACTGTAGATTTGATTCTCGAAAGAAAACCATGACAAAACCCGTTGATTCCCGCCTCATCTCGGAAGGTGATCTCATCCAAAGTCAATGCGACCTCATGTTTTTCCACCGTTTCATATCAATGTTTCATGGTGATTAAATGGTGTTTTAATGGGATTTCATGGTGTTTTTATTGGATTTAACGGTATTCATGGAATTTGCAACTAAATAGCTAAGTTGGTGAACATAACTCCAATAACGAAAGATTAGGGATCTGTCGATCTGTCGATCTGTCGCGTTTATACCGGGGCCCTGGGAAATCTGGGACACCGGAAATTTTGTCTTGGGACAAACCACTGAGAGGTCTAGCAATTGGTTGGTTTAATGGCTGGTTAATGGTTGGTTAATGGATGTTAATGGATGGTTTAATGGTGATTTCATGGTGATTTAATGGGATTTCATATGGATTTCATGGATATTTAATGATCAGTTCATGGCTGTTGAATGATCAGTTCATGGACATTGTCTGACAAGCAGTTCCCAACAGTGGCATGATCCAAGTCGCCAAAAAATCATGTGACGATCCATGAATTTTGCCGTGGGTACAATGGAGGTTTTACGAGGTTGAATCGTCAATATCCATCTATAATAGGGTAAAACATGGTAACATGAATTATTTAACGAATTGGGGATGACGGTAATTTTTTGAATCGAACTATCTGTTTTGAATTGGTGTATATCGACAAATACATACAGTCATTTGCACTGAAGCAAGCATGACAAACGTTTTTCGCGACCAGGCTTGAATTATTTTGAATTCTCCAACGGCTGATCTGTCATGTTTTCATCGAAGTGCCATGAATTATGTAATTCGAGCAAAGTCCGGTCTTCAAACATAAACGGGTTGATGGGAAAATACAAGGGAAAAGACTTGTATTTTTTTTTGCTAATTATCATCCAAATGGGTGTATCTGAAAATACCCCACAATTTGATGGCCTTAAAAAATAATGTTCCCCATTAAAATGACCATAAACATGTGGGCTGAATCTTTCATTGAACCCATGAATACTATAGATTTATCGATATATCACCTATAAACCAAAGTGAAATTGGAGTTGTAAACGCGCCAACTTAGCTATCGAACGGGGGCACCATCCTGTAAGGCTCAAGACATAATTCATGCTCGATATCCCACTGGTAATGACTAACAGTTTGCTATTGAACATTGCCATTTTTCGTTCGTTTAGCCATCATTGAAAAATGGTGATTTTCCAGTTCGCAAACTGTAAACGTTTACCAGAAGGTATCTCAAATCATTCATTGACATAATTGGATTTTTTAAACATTTCCATTATTTTGGGTCAAACTATTTCACTAACCGGAATCTGGCAGCCATAAAAGGGGATGATCTCCCTTATAAACCATGATTCCAGGCTTCGGGAGAACATGCTTCGGTCGTGATCAAATTTACCCAAATTATTATACATATATATATGTATTAAATTGGAATTTCAGGATCCTATATATTATATATATATGTATTACATGATGATGTCATAGGCATATTCATGGGTTTTTTCAGTGAACATATTTTTGGGGAATCTATTTTTCATGGGTTCCATGGATTCGATGGCCAGGCAACTTCCATCGCTGGCACCATGGTGGCCGCAGGTCTGGCGAGCGGAAATCGATTAGTGGAAATTGATGTTTAGATGATCTGGGTATGGGTCAAAATTAGGTACCCCAAAATTATGGATGGTTAATACTAAACTAGACTAACATCTGTGGTCCCACATCGGTCTTCCATTTTGACCCACATCCATCTAGTTATAGGCGTTAGTGAATTTCTATTTATAGGCCTGAAGACATATGTATGTTGATATAAACAGCAGTGGACATGTGGAAATTAAAATACACATGATGATCAAAATACATACTGAGTTAACAAATGAAACTTAACATATGTAATTTGAATACCTTATTCGCTGTTTGAATTTATGAATGATGATCCACTGTCTGATTTTGGGACCCCCAAAAATGTTTTTCAGAATTTCTCCTTTGTTGATCTCAAGTCATTGTGGATGCTGGAAGTTAAGTCCAACACCAATTCAAGGTTAGTCTGAGACAGTGTTTTTTATGAGTGATTTATAGGTGATTTAAAGGGATTTATAGGGATTTAGTGGGATTTATAGGGATTCCTCATTAGTTACACGACATATGAGTATATAATAGTGGATTAGTCTGAAACAGTGTTTTTTTTGAAGCTGTCAAAGAATCATGTACTGTAGCCAATCAATCAATATATCACCTATACCCCAGTACCCCGATTTTTGCCACTATTAATTAATTACAATTTTGGAGAGTAAAGTAAACAATCAGAAATGACCATACACCACCATTAATGTGGAAGACATCAGCACTACTATGACAGTTGGGAAAAAGGCGCCCCGCAGAAGCAACCCACCTTAGATTCTCTGCCGCATTGCGGTGTGTGTTGAAATAGCGCATCCAAATAATGAGGCCTCAGGGTACAGGAAGAAAAGAACAGTTGGAACACACTTACATATCATGATGACGGCTATTGATGGTTATTGATGGCTATTGATGGTTGTTACAGTGAAACCCTTTAGCAGTTATAAATGTGTTTTAATGGTGTTTTCATTCCATAAATGGGGTTGTAATTGACTTATCAGCGGTAACGGGCCATTTTTATGTAGTGGTGTGTGTGGTTGTCAAAATGGCAACCTGGCAACATCCTGGAACCAGCTTCACATCTAGTTGGGGTGAAAAAATACCCCATGTCATAATGGTCTATCCGCTCGAAATTTACTGGCATAGCAATGATTTCAACGTCCTATTGAGATACAGTACCCCAAAACATCCCAAAACAGTAAAACTACTAGAATATCAGAATAACCATCAAATGTCACCACTAATCATCGGTATCTTCCTCCGTAAGGTAACGCACAGGCACTCAGAAAGATGAAGAAAACCAGAAGTGAAATGACCACAGGCAGCACCGCCACATCTCCACCTCACAGAGTTTTTACGGCTGAGGTTGTTTTCTCAACATGAAATTTCACCTGGAAGCAGTGCGGAAGCAGTTTTAACTTCCTTTCAACTTTGGTACAAGGTGAGGCTCCCAGTGTTTGACATTAGGAATAAACACCGAACAGAGACAGTGTGTTCATCTACCGTGTATATATGCATGTACATGTATGTTACTTATGTATATATATACATATATATATATATGGGCCTACCATAGTAGGGATATATTGTAATAGAAACATAGAGGTATAAACCCACAATCATCGGAATATCCATCCATCAAACAACATATCCATACATATCCCCCAAATCCCCGAAACAATAAAAAAAAACACGATTCTCCAAAGTTTGTGACAATAATGTCCTTTTGGTACAAATAGAGGGGCCAGTTTGGTATACCATCTATGTATCATCTACCTGTTGTTGAAGGTGTAAACAAACACCTCTATCAACCAACCAATGGGAATTTGGGACATCTATTATAATCTATTGTTATTATCCCCCAAATCCCCCAAACATTCAAAAAACAAACACTTTTCTCCACGGTTTGTGAAATTTTCACCCCCAAATTGATTCCAGCTGCACCTGGTACCTGATTCTCCGACGCTGAACTCCTGGACGATGGCTTCACCATCACCGAAGAAACCAACGGCTTTGACGAAGGATTTCACCATCTGGTGGCCATGGCTATTAGTTATGACTGGTTATTTCACTGGGATTAAAAAAAACAATAAATGAGGTTTTGTTAGTAGTTATAACTGATAAATGGCCATAATGAGAGTTTCGACTCAGAGTAAACTGAGTAAATCCTGCATTTTCCCACTTTGAACATGTTTGCACTTCTGGGATAGATCCAACGAGCGGAGCGTTGCACCGTTGCACCCCACTTCTGCGGTCGTTTTCGCAGATTGTGAAAGAAAGATAGGCTTAGATCACATCTTATGATTTGGACATAGCCTCCACCCACTAACGCATGATATTTTGATATGACCCTATTGTTTGTTGGATTTGCAAACACAAATCATAGTTTGACCGGGCGCAGCTGATCTAATTATCATATTACTATCTTCTACCACGCTCCAATCCTTAGACCAGCTGTGTTTTTTGGAAATGCTGAACTGGCAACATCCCAAATCAATCGAAACTCAAAATGTTTAAGATTCCTTTAGTTAGAATGGTTAGAATGGTGAGAATCCATGCATACCAAAATGCAGGGCTCATATCTCAAAATATTGATATCTCGTGACTCGTGATATCTCAGTTGTTGAGTTCCCAAGGGCCACTTCCACAATTTAGGCTTTGGATCTGAGGAAATCTTCCAGAGGCTGCACCAACTGTGGCTACAACTCCAGTAAATCTGCACAGTCTAAGGAAAACATGCAATGTTTTCTAATACGTACATCATCTATGGGTCCATGGGTCATGTTCTAGTCATGTTCTAATCCCTTCCCCCGAATATGAAAAAACACCCCCTTAGAAACCATGGCTTAGTGGGGAATTTCCACATAATTGGAAACATATGGGGAGTGTGACTAATATTGGGGGGATGGGATTATAGCTATGTCAGTTGAAGATACCAACGGTCATTCGAGTCGATGTGCCAGTTGGTCAAATGCATGGGCATGAGGCCATCAATGTGGTGCAATATGGTGCAATCAACATATGCAATCATTAAGTCGAGGTGGCAGCCGGATACATTGGCCTACTGGATGTTTTAGTGAAAATTCATTTGGCACCTGATCTGTTGACTTCGTGAGACTTTCACTTAGTGTTGTTAGTCTCAGTTTAGTACTGTTTCATGAACCCCCCAAAACAAATCACCTAGAACTTAGAACATCATTTTTCCGGACCAGGATTCCAGCCATCGGGGTAAATGATAATATTTTACTAGCCTGAATTTTGCGGCCATAAAATCGGATGACGTCCCTTCTTTATCATGATTCCAGGCTTCGGGAGAACGACGTGAGGTCGTGATCAAATTTTCCCAGAGCCATGTACAATGTGAGGCCCCCGTTCGCTAGCTAAGTTGGTTTATAAGTCCAATTTCACAATGGTTTATGGTAGTTATAACTAATTATAGTTACTGGGGCTTTTGTTAACCAACATTCACATCACTGGTCTCACATTGTAAAGAGCATCGACTTCAGATCTTTCCATGGCGACTTGGTCAACATCCCGTCCCAGCGGTAGCGTCCTGAGATCTGCTTCAATCTGCGGAAAGGACGGGATCAATTTAGAAATCACCATATTTTAGTCATATATTTAGTGGAATTGTTTATGTTGATTTACATTTATTTACCCATAAACACCAAAATTGTTGCCAGTAATAGTCGATATGAACATGTGAACATGAGGATTTAACGAACTTAAGCCATGAATATGGGCATATCAGCGATGATGAGTAAGAACAACAAAAACCAAATATGTTCGTTTGCACCTGGATCCACGTCCCAAATACCAGGGGATAGAAATCAGTTGCCACTGACTTCAGAGATTTTCCAGGGTGAAGTTCAAGGCATGGATTTCTGCACTTTGCGTCTAGTGCCAATGCTTTCAACATCTTTCTAAAAAAAAATATGTAATGGATCCAAACATAACACCCTGGGGTAAACGAACATAGATGTGGAAAACCCATGGTTTCCTAGCAAAATCATGGAACGTTATCTACAAATTGTGGATTTTCCACTTTACAGGAGAGCAAATTTCAGGTAGATGACCTTTCATTCTGCACCAGAGCGTGGAGAACATCAACATGGTCACCTTGGTACCATGATTTTGACATCCCAAATGTTCATTTCTATCATGGTCGAATGCCACAATTTTTGCCCATGCTTAAACAACCTCGTGAACATTCCTCTACGTCTTTGCTGTACACTAGAACCATGAGTTTAGCCAGAGTTGTGAGTAGTTCCCTGTATTTGTTGGCGATATTTATATCTATCTATCTATCTATATATATATGTATATATATATATATATGTATATATATATATATAGATAGATATCTATGTATATATATATATATATCTATATGTATATATATATATATATACACATATATATATATATGGTGGGTTCCATAAATTCATCGAAAATCCCATACAAAAATGGATGATAACTAGGGATACCCCCATGACTTAGGAAAGCTCCATGTATGTAGTCGTTTTAGTAGGATTCGACTGTTCTATCCTTTTACAGGCACTCTCGTAACTCTAGAAATATGGGTTATTATGGGTCAACGGAGTTATAAACCAATTCTATACCATATTTGGTAATGGCCAGTTCTGATGGCTGAACAGCCATTAAAAACCCAATGTGGTTTCAGCGGTGCCAACCCGAACAATGGGATTTTGTCACGATTTCCCCAGGACTACTACTTAATCTAGTTGCAAAAACTACATGTATAATATTGTTTGTATATATGGAAGTTTCCTAAGTCATGGGGGTACCCCAAAATCATCCATATGTTTAGAATTTTCCATGAAATAAACCATCCAGCGAGCTTGGGAGACCCACATGACTATGGAAACCTCCATGTCAATTTAGTTCATGAAATATATCTACATTCAATGGCCATTTCAGGAACCTATATTGGAGGTGCCTACCATATACAAGGCATAAACTTCAGGCCTATGTAAGGGAATATCTTAGAACATATGCCCTTATATGGTACTAACGTACCTCCATTTTAGGATCCTGAATTCCCATTGATATACCCTCTATCAACCCCATCTGAATGATGGTTTTCCGAATGCACTATCATTTGTAACAACCATTTTATCTCATTAGTTATTGAAAATTCAGTTGTGTAACAACCATTATATCTCTATCCATTTCCAAATACTATATCATTTGTTATATCTCATTATTTCCTGAATTCGATGCCGCCTCTGTTCAGTGTGAGGAAGGTCACTGGGGAAAAACAAGGTTTTGACCCACCACAGCTGGGCTACATCTCAATATGTATGCATGATTCCTCATGATCCATTGATTATGTCAGTAGCCAATAATTCATATGCGTTTTTCCTATTGTCCCGGCAAGAGACCCCAAACAGTGTGGGTGAGTGGGAGGATAATGCATGATAATGTGGATAAGGACGATGATGATCATCATGATGATGATGGTGATGGTGATGATGATGGTGATGATGGTGATGATGGTGATGATGATGATGATGGTGATGATGATGAAAGTAAAAAAGATGATGATGATGATGATGATGATGATGATGATGATGATGATGATGGCATGCGCAGTCGAAATGCACTTCAACATTTCACAAGAGCCACTTTTTACGGGAAATATACAGGTAAAATGCAGCGCCCCAGATTGAGCCCAGAACGCAGACACACACACACACACACACACTCACACACTTTTTGCGAGCCGGCGCAGTCAAAATGCACTTCAACATGTCACAAGAGCCACTTCATACGGAAATTTACAGGTAAAATGCCGCGTCCCAGATTGAGCCCAGAACGCGGACACACACTTTGTGCGAGCCTGCGCAGTCGAAATGCACTTCAACATTTAACACAAGAGACACTTTACACGGAAATTTACAGGTAAAAGGCCGCAAACCAGAGTGAGCACCCTGATCAAGCACCGGCCTTTACAGCTACCGTAAGAACCCCTCAGTGTGGACACACTGTTTGGGGAAAAAAGAAATCAATTGATATCAAGGGATATATCTGGGTATTTTTTTAAAAATTCACTTATCTGATTTAAGGCCATTTGGGGATGATTTCCCTCACTACCCATGATTCGAGTGAGGGAGAACAGCTAGGTCGTTATAATTTACCCATACTGTTGGCATTATATTCGTTATATCACTATATACCCATTGGTGATATATCCCAAATACCATAATAGTTCATATATATATATGACAGTTGATATATCAGTTTCATATATTAAGCAATAACTAAAAAGAAATCATTTGATATCAAGTGATATATGGCGAATTCCCCTTGAATTTGAGGTAAAAAATCCCAGCTCGCGCCTCCATGAGGCCATCCCAAGTGGCTCGCACTCCCATTCCTCCAGAATGATGGGGGGCTGTCACATCCCAGGCCTTACCCTCTGGTAAACTAACATAACCATGGAAAATCACAATTTTTCATTGGAAAATTCACTATAAATGGCCATTTTCAATAGCTATGTTAGTTTGCCAGAGGGTAAGACATCAAGCTCTTGATATGGTAATATGGGGGTTTCCTAAATCGTAGGGCTACCCCCAGTCATCATCCATTTTTTAGATGGGGATTTTCCCAAAAAAACAATCCAGCTATTGGGTACCCCATTTTGGAAAACCCCATATATGATATAATTGGTTCTGGAAATAATGTATGATATAATTGTGTTATATTGTATCCATGTAATTGGATCCCTACGGAAGTGATTCATATGAGGATGCGAAGCCATCAACAGCCGTGGCGGTTCAGCAATACAACCAAGAAACAAGGAACATATATACTATGACAAAATGTACGAACAAAAAGCAACAAACATGACGAAACATATGTTCGGGATGCAAACAGGGGTACCAAAGCATATCCACAGCCATACCCTCATAAAAATCCATCCGAAAAGTGTGCTTCGCGCCTTTGCCAGAGCGTGCCACCTCTTGCCACACCGTCTCGGTTAAGCTTTGGATGCCTGAATTAGCAGAATCAGAAGATTCCCTATGGATCATTGTACTGCAAGCAGTGTCACGATGATGATGACGATGATGATGATGATGATGATGATGATCATGATGATGATGATGATTTTGAGGAGGAGGAGGAGGCGGAGGAGGAGGAGGAGGACGATGATGGTGATGATGGTGATGGTGATGGTGATGATGGTAATGAGTATTAGTGTTATTATCATCATTATTACCATCATCATGATATGTTTTTTGTTTTTTAAAGTCATAGGGGTACCCCAGTCGTCACCATGGATTTCAATACTAATTCATGGTCATCCATGACGACTGGATCATTGGGGGGCACCTCTACTGTAGGAACCCCCAATATGGAGGCTTCCGTTTTGTCATAGGGCTACCCCTAGTTATCATCTATAGATGGGATTCTCCATGAAATAAACGATGCAGCGAGCTTGGGGTACCCCCATGACCCAGGAACCCTCCATATATGATATAATTGGTTCTGGAAATAATGTATGATATAATTGTGTTCTATTGTATCCATATAATTGGATCCCTACGGAAGTGATTCATATGAGGATGCGAAGCCATCAACAGCTGTGGCGGTTCAGCAATATGAGGACAGCCCCGGCCCGGTGCCTGTCAAGGCGGCCGAAGTCTTGGAAAGGCGCCAGCCCAAGCCATAGCTGTCGGAGGCCTGTCAGAGGCGCAGCGGGGTTCCATGATTGATGACATCAAGCTTCACAACGCTCAAACAATATCTATAAGGCATATAAACACCATACTATTTATGATATAATATGATAGAACATGATATCAATGTACAATTATTTGATGTACATTTGTAAGTTCCTGCCAGACCCCATATCTTGGATCTTTTTCGGCAAACCACAATCCTACGTGGCCCAATTTTTCATCACTGACCACAAACGGTGGTGGGGAAACGGTGGTTTCCCTAGTTATAAATTGGTTGTGATACGTTATCAGCCCATGAAAACTAGTTCGATATATCACCTATAAATAGATATATCACCAACAGAAACCAGTGAAATTGGAGTTATTTGCACCAACTGAACGCTATCAAACCATAGCGAAATTGTAGTTATCTGCACCAACTGAACGCTATCGAACGGGGGCACCATCCTGCAAGAACCTTTGCTGTGAACACTTAGAGACACCACATGAGCGGTGGGGAGATTCCTTGGGACTTCGGAAGCTGCAAAATTTTGACAGCATGAACTACAGTTGTTTAGCCCTTGATTTTCTGGTTAAACATCGGTTATTATTCCATATATGGGGTTATAACATGTTATAACTGACTTAAAACCGGCGGCCACAGCTGTAGGATACTGTAGGTGTGATTGATACTGTAGGTATGCTTGATACAGTGTATCATATCATACAGGAACTAGCAATGCCGGGCAGGCTGTACTGGTGAATGTTCTAGGCCGACCGGTACATGACTTGAGCATTCCCAGTATAATTCGGATGTGCTTAAGGGGTCCCCAACAAATATAACCTGGTTGGTGGTTTTATCCATCTTGAAAATATGAGTTTGCCAATGGGAAGGATGACATCCCATATATGAGATGGAAAATACAATTCCTGTTCCAAACCACCAACCAGTAACATATATTAAATTATTTCCTTAATCGAATTCCCGTGGTGGATTTCCATGATTTCCCCTTGGGAAAATTTCACAAATCACTCAACAAACCCAGGAGAAAGGACAGTCAATCCCCAGAACTCCAACAGGGCTGTCAAATGCAGCCACCTCTCGCTGCTGGGTAGTTTTTTGGCGGTGCCATGTATACATATATGTATATATATTTATATGTATATATATATGTATATACCAGATGGACTTGAACATGGGAAATAGTTTGGTCTGACCATTGGGTCGATGCCTCAAAATGGTACTTTTTCATGGGGGAATGTTTATCGTGATTATCGAAATTATGGGTACCCAGTTTTCATGTCGGACTTATGGGAATATAGCCATTTCTTAGCCATGATCAACCCATGAATCTACAGTGAAAGGTCCTACCAGTTATTTTTTATGGTTAGAAATGGACATGGAAACCACGGCCACTCAAGCATTCACTCCTCAAACATCAACAGTCACATGGTATTTCTTCACTGACTTATGACTGACAAAAATCATCCATGTGTTTTTTTAAGGGTTTTCCGTGGGTTTTCCGTTATAAACCATCCAGCTGTTGGTGATCAACCCAGCAACTGGGTGTTTCCATAAATATAAATGGGGGTAATCCAAAATTTATTCTGGAAAATCCTATTGAAATGGATGATTTAGGGGTACCTCCATTTTAAGAAACCTCCAACTTCTAAGATACTCACTGGCCTGCACAGCCACACAGCGCACCACGCTGGGCTTAACAAACGTGGCCACGAAGCTTAGACCTCGTCGGATCGGGCTGAACATAGCTATGGGTATAGCAACATAGCTATGGTGCAGATGGCCCACTTAATGGTATTGATGGTGGTTAATTCACCTATTAATGGTGGTTACTTCACCTATTAATGGTGGTTTTCCATGTTTTTTTGTATTGATGAGGATAACAGGAATTACATCATAAAGAACATGATAATGTTAATGATAATCAATGATAGTGAATGTAATCAATGAATGATAATCAATGATAATCAATGATAGTAAATGTTGATGATCATCAAATGATTGATGTTCATGAACATGATAATCAACAATGATAGTGATTATGTACAGTTATCCGCTTTGGGATTTTTAAACACCACCATTTTGCTGGTGCTAACTGTTTTTTAATTCCATGATATTCCATTCTCCTTGTTGAATGGGCATCTTGGCCTCTTGTGGTTCGTATCACCGTACGTCGATGAAAAAAACCAGCTGCCAGGCTGACATGATTTTCCTCTGGAGCCACCAGCCACCTGGTGCAGCCCTGCTATCATCCACTGTATTCCCAAGTTCACAGAGGAACAATTTTTCACAATGTTTGGTTAAATCCCCTTGGTTAAATCCCTAGTGAAAAATCCCAACCTGGTTACTGTATCCCATTTTTGTGAAATCTCTCCTTTTGATGTTTCATCATCTCCATGTATCCATCAAACAATCACGTATGTGTTCCGCAACGTTTCCATCGCTTTCCCCCATGGGAAAAATGCAAAAAAACTATGTAAACGTTCCCTATGATTGACTAGTTGCACCCCAGATTTTCAAAGTTCTCCAGATACCCTCTGGTAATGACTAATATAGCTATTGAAAATGGCCATTTAGTGAGTTTTCGCATGAAAAAATTGTGGATCTATAGTTCTGTAAACGTTTACCAGGCCGGGAAATTCCCAATTATATCCCCTATAAATCCCTATAAATCCCCATGGTATCCCTATAAATCCCTATAAATCTCCATTAAAATGGCACCTCAACTGGGGCTATCCTGACCAACCCCAATGGCAGCCTCCGGGGGAACATCGGCTTTGCGAGCACTTGGGCACCCAAGTGCCGTCCAAGGGCATCAGACCCACCGCATCCATCATGTAGAGCTGGGCAGGAAGGTAATAATACCATTTAATAACTTTAAATAACATGGGGTTGATAACCATATGGTAATCATAATAACATATTAATTAATGTTAGTTGGTTATTAATGTTTTTGCCATCCATCATGTTATAACCATATGTTAAGCATTTAGATAACGGTTAATGATGGTTAATAATTTTCATTAACATATTATAACCATAATATGGTTAACCATTAATATACGTTAATAATTGAAAAAAACTGATTTCCTGGACATAATTTTGAAAATGACCATAGAAAATAGTTGAATTACCTATTGAAAATGGTGATTTAGCTATTGAAAATGGTGGTTTACCTATTGAAAACGATGATTTACCTATAGAAAATAGTTGATTTACCTATTGAAAATGGTGATTTACCTATATACACACAATATTTTCTGGTTGGTGGTGCAATAACCATCTTGAAAAATGATGGAGTGAAAGTCAATGGAAAGGATGACATCCCATATATGAAATGGAAAATAAAATTCATGTTTGAAACCACCAACCAGTTTTCAGAATTTTGGACATTTCTGCCCAATCCTGGCTGGGTGGTGGTTTGAACCTACCCCTCTGAAAAATCATGGAGTGAAAGTCAGTTGGGATGATGACATTCCCAACTGAATGGAAAATTATGAAATTCCATGGTTCCAGTCACCACCAACGAGCTGGTTCTCATAGTTATGTCATCCCAGAGATGGAAAATCCGACGGCTGATCTAACCAGTATGGCTCCGCCATAAACCCTTGCCATTGGAAGGACGTGTAGTGCAACGAAAACTTTCATGGTGATGTATCAGTTACCATCCTTCATTGACTTCTGCAAAAGTCAACACAAGTGGAATATTTTGCAACATGCCATATTCCTGGTACACTTAGGTAAAACAAGCGAGGTTCAAAACTAACCACCAAACATTTTTCGCGGACCTACCCTCTAAGGCCTGGTTTAAGACCAACTTGTTCTGTAAACACTCGCAGGATGGAAACAAAAAACATGGATTACTATTGAGTTTGACAACATATGTTCCAATTTTTAAGCCCCATTCACCCACCATAAGTATCCGACTAGTATTCAAGTTAAGGGTAAGAATACTTCACTTTACTATCTGGTTGGTGGTATACCTACCCCTCTGAAAAATCATGGAGTTCGTCAGTTGGGATGATGACATTCCCAATATAAGAAAATATAAAAAAACATGTTCCAAACCACCAACCAGTCATGTTATATCATGTTATATCTCCCATAAACACCAACTAAAAAATGTTCCAAACCACGAATCAGATAGACCAAAATCTACATAGTTTTACCGCGCCTTCTCCGGTTTCAGCTCTTTCTGGCATTCCAGATCTGCAAAGAGTTTCACACCAGTGATGCCTGTCCGCAGCCAGGTTGAATGGCTATCCGTCGGTATTTCTTGCAACCTGGGAACCATTGGCATGGGATTTGAAAAAAAAGCATGTTATCCCAACCCAATGGTTACTATCATTGGGATAATGTATATAATAACACTTGGGATATGATAAAAACATGATCCCTATATAGTACGCACACGGGTCATCAAGAACAAATTCCAAGACCTACAATCTCCAAATCAGGCAGCTTTCGTGCTGATTTGATCCAAATCGGGAAAAAACACATTAGACAAAGATGGTCAAATGGTATTACCCTCTGGTAATTTAACATAGCTTTTGAAAATGGCTATTTATAGTTGATTTTCCCATTAAACATGGTGATTTTCCATAGCTATGTTAATTTACCAGAGGGTAATTGATTTGGATTAAATGATCTTTGTCTATTTTTTGTCTATTCATTAATTAATGAGTTTTGGCATTAAGATTAATTGATGAGTTTCGGGAAACTTCGATGATCTTTGCAGATTCCCTGGAATTCCGAGTGACCGTCACGGACAGTCATGGGCCCATAGATTGGTTGGATATGACCCAACCAGACCGGGCTTTGAGACTCGTCATGGTCAAAGAATGATACCACCCTCTGGTAAACATACAAAAAGCTATTGAAAATGGTCAATATATAGTTGTTTTTCCTACTAAAAATATGGATTTTCCATAGTTTTTTGTATGTTTACCAGAGGGTATATGATCTGTATACATCCATCCCAGACTGGGAATCCAATCAGAATGGCGTAATCCAAATCATGATAAATCTGCATGCATCTAATCACTGGATTTGGCTGACCGTCCTCCAAGTTAGTCCAATCCAACTAACTTGACCATAGCACATATCCCATAGGATCCATGGTGCTGGTATATTAATGCTAACATTTGGGGTATATGGATGGTACATGTTACCATATATAGCAGCACTATGGATCCGTCATGGGTATATGTGTATCCTGGCCACACCAGGCCAACGCATCAAATTTGGGAAAATCCAATGGAGAAATAAAATGGGAAAATGGAGGAGATCCCCACTATTTGGGCTTTCCCAAATTGAATGAACAATGATAACCATCAAAAAAAAATGGAATTCCCGAATTATTCCAACAACATTTGGATCTCATTTGGATGTCGAAAAAGACAAACTAGATCATAGAAAAATGCCTTCCGTCATTGAGAAAGACAACCTAGAATTGAGTTTTTACATATGATATATGTAAACTACCACCTTTAGTTCACCTAGAAACTCTTATGTCATATGTAGCTGTGAGTCTGTTCATCCACAATGGTCCCATTTAGGTGAACTTATCTCCAGATAGATCACTGTAATGACCAGCCATTCTCAAAATTGCGGCTTCCCAGTGCTGTCTACCACCCCCTAAAAAAACAATTAAACAAAATCGAATTTGATAAAGCACTACTATAAAATAGTGTCATCAAAAATATTGAGTTCCATTTTTTTGGGATTAAACAAATCCTTCCGGTAATGAAACATAGGGATTTTTCCACTACAACCTCCATTGATTAGCCATTTATAGGGCTTACCATAGATCAAATTTCGTCAGAGGGGAAAACTTTGCTATTTAATCATTTAATCCTGGTTGGTTGATGGGGATTTTCCTATTGGATTAGAACCCACAAGATATCAAGGGTAGTTGTTTATCCCCAAACTAATCATCAACCAACAGGGGTAGATCGCAGCCACTCATTTCCACTTTCCCATGACTTCGATCATTTCCCCACCCTCCTCCGTTCACCACGCGTGTCTCCCAGCCACCACGCCTCGCGCCATGCGATCCTCGATACGACCATTGCAACCGAAGCCGTTGCGTTCGTTCACCTCAGCTGAGTCCCATATGTTCTACCTGTCATTGGATAGGAACCCCCAAGCAGATTCGAAGAAGTGTCAATTTATCATCATTTTGTCACTGTTTTTAGATTTTAATCCGAATTTACCAAATTCGATCATACCTACGACGATCTGGACATGGGTTTGTTGGGGGGAAGAAACGTTCGAACAAATAACAGCTCTGGCGGATGGCAAAATTCATAGCGCCGAGATCTGGTCCGTAATGAATCCTAACTTGTAATGGTTCCGAATTATAAACCCAGTTTCTCCCAGCATGTGTTTCATAGCAAATCTTCTTATATAAATGATCTTAAAATGATTCTAAACGATCTTAAATGTATGTCACGATCCAATCTCATCCTAAGAGTTTCCGTTCATCCAAATGGAGGTTTCCTAAGTCATCCGGGTACCCCTAGTTATCATTTATATAAGTATAGCTACAGTAGATGGACAAACTATTCAAACCCTGCAACACGCAATATGTTGAACCCCCGCACCCCCAAATCTCAATGTTTCAGCGCGCGTGTTACCAAAAGTGATGTTAGGGGATGTTAGGGGTTTATTTTCTTTCGTCCATTGGGGCTAATCCACTTCAGGTTACATTAACATTGAACTTTAGGAGCGAGGGGGTTGTGCAGGATAGAAGGGGTTTGAATATGTCGTCCATCTACGGTACGAACTGGGGTGTGCGGCATGCCGCACATCCCAGTTGCTACTGTCTCGCTCTGTGGCGTTTTCACATTTTTTGGTTTCCAAACTCTGTTATGGAAACATCATCCTGCATGCTGCTGATCTTATTCCAAACTGCACAAAACATTGGTTTTCCTATTCCCTAATTCACAACTTATTCCAAAATGCGCAAAGGCGCAAAGCATTGTGTTTTCAGAGGTAAACCCTGCATGTCTCTTTCGTCCCATTTTTTACTATTCCCTAATTCACGGCTAATTCGTTTGACGTGGCCCTGCCAATGGATTTTGCAACCTGAACAGCATGAGACAGCTCCTAATAAAAAAGGAACAATTTTCTTTCAAAAAGTAGCAGCAAGTCACAAATGACAAAGCCACGTCAAACGAATTAGTCGTGAATTAGGGAAAAGGAAAAAATGGGACGAGAGTGCAGTAAGTTGTGAATTAGGGAAAAGGAAGAAATGGGACGGGAGACAGGCAGGAGGCATTTACTTGTGAAAAGCCAATGTCTCGCACGGTTTGGAGTAAGATCAGCAGCATGCAGAGTGATGTTTCCATAAGAGAGTTTGGAGACCAAACGATGTAAAAACATCAGAGAGCGAGACGTTAGGATGTTCCATTTATAAACCATCTAGTGCGCTTGGGGTACCCTCATCTGGACCCCCCATATTTATATATATATATATATATATAAATATAAATATCACCAACAAATCTTGATCCTGGAAATCTTGAGAAATCTTGATAGAAACCAAGAAATCTTGGCTCGGAAAGCTCCAAATCCTTCTCTGTATCCAACTTCGCCAGGACACAAAGAAGCCAGTCTCGAAACCCTGCGACCTGTGGAGTCAGGTGGCCGTGCGTTGCGCGGTGGAATCCCCATAGATATTACGATTGGATGGGCCAGCGACGTCCGATTTAAACCACCAAAAGGATGGATGAAACCCTATAAATAATGGGATTAACATGGATTAACCACCTATCAACTGGTTTAACCACCTATTATTGGATTTGTTTAAGGGAGCAAAAACCACAGAAAAAACCCATGATCTTCATGGCAAAAACCATAGTTTCCTCTAGATGTTCCCTTGCACCAATCCATTGATACTAGATAAGTATTGTTATTGATACTAACTATAATCATGTATTTTAGATATTACATGATATTACATGATATTACGATGATTACTAGATAATTATTGCTTAATTATTTATTATTACTAGCTTGGAATATTATTAGATACCAGCTATATCCGTGGGGATTCATTGGTTGTCTACTAACATATTATTAGATACCAACTATTGGTATTATGATATAGTTGGTATCATATTATTGAATGATGATTATTGTTATCATGGGGATTCATACCCAAGGTATTGGAGTCATTACTAGATAATCATCGTTACTGAATGATTTTGATACCAATATATCAACTATATACCATGATAAATGAATGTCGTTGATACCAACTATATACCATGATATACCATGATAGTTGGGGGATAAGCCACTATAATCTGTTGCACAAATGGTAGCGATTAATAGTTGGTCCATGTTTGTCAATCGATGCAGATGCGGCGAAATGGTTATGGTGTGCAAAGAGTTGGTTGAGAATCCAGCCCCCGAACCATATCATAGTTCCCCTATATAAATAGGCCTCTACCAATCTATCAGTACATTATATATATATATACATATATAGACGCGCGAGAGAGAGAGAGAGAGAGATCCATTACATTCCACTAGGGCTTAGCTATTTAAAGTTAGAAAGGAGCTGATACTATCGCAACATGCAATTTTAACCTCGGAACCATAAACCTTGGTTGATTGATTAGGGTGGCTACCCTGCTAACGTGATGCCATCTGCTACTGAGGTAATACCCTCAAGAAAACCGGCCAGGGGTGCATTCATCTGAGTTGGACATTAACGTGGCTACCTTGGTGACTAAACTAAATCAGGTGACAATGCTGATTTCATTGTGTTGCGTAAGATGGCATGAGGTATACAGCAATGTTTGCGATCATGAAAATGCCAAACCTCACCCCAAAATCTATCAAGATGCGCGAACTTCACAGGGGATTTGAACTGTGCATCCCCGTGGGGTCTTTCATACCCACGATACCTGGGATGCAGGAATCCCTTGCCCAATAGGGGATCTTGTTGCTTGCTTCTATCTCATTCATATACAATATCCCATTCAATGTACAAGATCAAGCAACAATATATTATTTAATGAGATAGAACCAAGCAACAATTGTTGGATCATTCATCAAATATGGATTTATTATACAATACCAACAATTCTCCCCATTTGATGCTTAAATCCACCGTGTTCAACCACTGTTCAGTGGAAAAGATTTCGCAGTTCCTTTTCGTACACCGCAACACCTACGGGCGCGCACCGCATTAAAGCGGCCGCACTGTTTCTGAGTCGCTGCCGGGGCGGAAGCTCCCTTCAGAGCCGATGTCGTGGTGTTTGTCGGTTGAATCTCCGGTGATGTTGGTGATTTCAAATAAGCTCAGTAAATTGATCTGATAAAAAGTCATATCATAATGTACATGTTACATATGCATATATATATATATATGTTACCTGTATCTACGTATATATATATATATGTATTATGACAAATATATATAAATATAATTAAATATATATGTGTGTGTGTGCGCGCGAAGTGTATTTTCCTGGGAACTTAAATCTTTCTTTCCCATCAACAACCAGCTAAAAGTGAGGCTTGGGGATGCTGAGGCGACTTGGTTTCCCTTCAAACTCATGGAGAGATTGGCATCCGGAGCGCGAGTGAAAATCCGATAGAATCCCCCACAATCAATTCTCCAGCCACTTTAGCATCTTTTTACCAAGGGAATCAGATTCAAATTGCCACCACATCTTCTAGGCTCTGAAGATAGCTAAGCCAACTCGCCCAAAACTGTGCATGTGGGCCGCAGTGATCAAATGTTGAACCGTGAGCAACCCCAAGCTATTCAGCGAGGTCTAGAGGTCGAAGTTTCACCTTGATGTCACAAAATATACTATATACTATATATTGTATTTTGCTTCAATTTGTCCTAGCCATATGATGCAATATGGGTGTGTCTGAAAATGATGATTGACCATTGGAATGTGTGATACCTGATTTTCAGACAAAATCAAGTACGTACAACTACTAAAGTGATACAACTCATATTGTTGTTTGCTTCCCTTCCTCTGTTTCTTGGTCACTTGTCTCCTTTATAGCGGTCCTTTCTCCATCATTTGTTCTGTTCATGTTTGCCTTACCCTGCCGCACTTCCTTCACTGACCTCTTCTGGTCCCCAGTTTCCTTTCTATTTGAAGGTTTCAATAAATGGGATTAACCCCAAATCATGCAATGAAATAGGATTTTCCATCATAAACCATCCAGATATTGGGGTACCCCCGTTGATGGAAACCACCATTTGGCCTGCTCTCTGTTCCGAATTCCGACCCTTTGGTGATTGACATGGGCAAAATGTTACAACGTCTATAGCTGGCCGGTGGAAGGCGGGATTTCCATCGTGGGAAATTCACAATTTCCATTCCACCAGCTCGTAAAACCCATCATTCTGCAGATCATTTACTCTCTGGTAAACGTTTACTATGGAAAATAACCATTTTTGATGGGTAAATCAACTATAAATGGCCATGTTCAATAGCTTATTATGTTAAATTACCATAGGGTAAGCATCATTCTGCAGATCAAATCCTGGCATCTCTGCATATCACCACTTTTGCGCAAGGCCTGGGCTGTTGCTCACGTGTGCACACGGCTTAACTCCTGAGCGACCTCTACACATCACTAAGAAAAATGTGGACGGCGAGAGCGAGATGAATACCCGAGAGCAAGAGTCATCTTCCAACTTCTGTGGCTGGTATTGTTTCTGTTGAGAAGGATTCCCCTAACCCCCCATGGTTTATCATAAGTTTGCCGTTTGCACATTGAAAAAAAAACATATTTGGGATTATTTGAGTTATTTGGGGGTATCCTCCATTTTCAGACACACTCTTTTGATGATTTGTGTTGTTTGTTTTTTACCAGGAAAACTCACACACACAGCGTGGTCTTCCGTGAAAAACTCTGTTTCACCCTTTTTCACCCACAGCAGTTTTGGATCACTCGATGGGACTGCTGGGTCTGTTTTTTTTTGACAAAGGTAGGATCATCTCAGCTAGCAAGCGGGTTATAACCCCAGTTCGTTCAGTAGGATAAATGGTAAATAGAGGCAATGTCCAGTTCTGGGGTGAACTAACCCACTGAACCGATTCCTGGGATGAGCCACCAAGTATTCATCAAAGATGCCAACTGCATCTGCATTTTCGTGAAACTCTGATAGCTGGGTCTAGACTTCGAGATCCACCAGATCCACTAGATCCAACGTGTGTCGGTGTCTGAACATGGACTATACCTTTAAACAGCCATCTTCATCCGGGAAAATAATGATCAACCACTGGATTGTGTTCTTCCTCTAAATTTCAAACCCCAATAGGTCCAATAGCCAAACAGTAGCACTGCGAGTAGCTGTGCCATGGATTTTCGGCCCCTGGTCATCCACTGCCGAATCCAAACTGAACATGGGTTGACATCATCACTGACTATCTCCTTTCCCGAAATTCATAGAAGTTCTCCATGAAGTGACCCGGCTTTCAAACCACATGGTACACCCAACCCATGAGCGGACCCCAGCTTGACTGCAAACGTTCACCGTGAAGACCCGGTGGCTATGCGTCCTGAGTGGGAGTCGCTTCAACCAGCAAACAGCACATATTCAGTCAAAGAATTTGGCACATCTTGACAACCACTGAAACTTGAGGGCAAGCAAGGGCGGACGAAAGGTAGTGTAGTGGGAGAGGAAAACGCTGCGCCCCTTTTGTTCAGCGCTGGCAGGAGATGTCACAGTAGAGGCACACCCTCCATGAGGGAGATGTCCCTGTAGCCCAGCATAATTGGTATGTTTCAGCTTCAGTAACGGTTGCTGCAAGGGGTCTTCAAAAGTAGTTTTAAATAAAGAGAGAGGGACGCCACCAGGGCCCCATTTATGCAGTGTTTTGTGTTGTTTTTGTTAATGTAATTTGTGTTTATTTCTAATTCTACTCATATTTGTTGTTTTTGATTTTTCTACGTTGTTTATATTGCTTTGTTTCTATTGCGTTGTTACCTATTGTATGTTCAATTTGGTTCTGGAAAGTTCATATAGAATAGCATAATAGGGGTGGAGATAGGGCTCATACCCTTGGTTCTACATTGTCTGTTCTTTTCCAGAAACGGATTACAAATACACCACTGGCAAGTAGCAAATTCGATATGTGTATCATCATATGAACATGTAACATCTATATCTATATATATATATACACAATTGTGTTACACTAACAAAAAATGATCAATGAGAAAAGCTAAGCAAATCTCATAGTCCATGTTGAACAAGTGCCCGCACCATTTAAATTTGTTCATGCAACTGTATTACTATTGCTTAGATTTGGTGGTTTCTACCAGGAAAAAACCTAAAGTACAGCCTTGCAACATCATGAGAAATGCAGGTAATTGTAGTTGCAAAGGGTACATCAGGGATTGAAACCGTACAGGGCTCAAGTTTTGTCCCAAGATTTTCATTGGCTCTACTAAGTCTTGCAAAAAAGTGCAAACTTCATCACGAACTAATAGTGATCATGAAAAGGCATGGGGTAAATCACTCTTCTCATGGTCAATTGTTGACCTCAGATTTTCCTCGACCTGTTTCCCAATTTCATGGACAGTTTTCCCAGCATCAGCTGAGTGTGAAGCAGCAACTGCCAGGTAGGCATCATCGATGTATTGACATGCATGGGTGGCTGGAGCAAGGGCATCTGATCCTTCCCTTGCTGCACAAAGTAGGCAAGATTGAACCAGCAAAACCAAGAGCGCTATCTTGTGTAAGATGGATCCCTTGCGGGAACCCGTCAAAGTACGGGTGTTTTTGGTCTTTCCCGGAGGCCCAGAGAGAATAGTTGCATTTTCGTACATACTAGTCTGAACATTAGCAGCCTGTGAAGAGAACCGTTCAACATACCGGTAACCCTTGACTCCTTGACCCAGCTTTTGCGAAGTTGTCCAACTGGTCACGAGCTGAAATCGAGTCCCAATCTCACCATACGGGTAGACCGGCCAACTAGCAGCCTCCAGCGGCTCTGGGCCCGAACTGCTTTGGCATGCTCCGTTGCAGCAGGTGAGATGAAGCCAAGGATCCTTGCAGGCCAAAAACAACCATGGCTCAGGGTGCCTGTGGTGTTAACTGCAATCGGGGCCCTCATCGATGGGATGTTTCCGACAGTGATCATTTGCCCCCGTTGCGCCAATTCCTCCATAAGCGGGGGCTCTTCGTACCCCATAGACTTGGCAGCTTCGTCTTTATCTGCTGCCACAAATGTAATCTTTTCTCTTCCTCCTGTACGGACAACAGTCCCTGACGTGCAATTTGGCCCAGCAAATACTCTCTTTGGGCGGTAATCTTCGTCTTGATATGATTTCAGTTCCAGGCCCCTTTTTCTTGTGAGTGGGTCTGGAGAATCCGAGATTGCCGACACAGGCTTCAGCTCAGTCTGCCAAAAACAGGCAAAGTCTGGTGAAGGCTTGCTTGACATTATGTTCGGCTCTATCAGCCTCATCGGCCCCATCTGCCTCATCGGCTCCATTGGCCTCATCGGCGTCGTGGGCTTCATTAGCCTCATCGGCCTTGTTGGCCTTATTGTTTTACTTGTGGAAAAGCCCAGCACGCCCCGAAGGAGGCGGAATTTGTTGCGTCCATTTTGCGCCTATGTTTTGCTGTGCTTTCTTTTGATCAGCATTGATGCATAGCCTCTTGGCTTGCGATATGGCCTTCAAGTGTCGAGCATACCCGGCCCCCCCTATAATTGAAATCTAATACATAACTCCTAGAATTCTACGTTTTGGCCGGACTAGCCTTCCAATACCCCCTATGTGCTGAAGCACGGAGAACTATATGTTTCTTTACCTCAAAATCTCCAATCTTGTATACCAGCTGATGCTCTGTTTGGAACTTTCTCATTTATTCTGCATGTGTTTGATCATATTTTACCGATGAAACATCTACAAGCAGGATTATGCTGAATGGGCTTGCAGTTTTCTTCTTGGCTGCAGAACAAGGTGTTTGTGGAACTTTCGATCGAGCCTCCGCCTCTACTTTCCAAATCGCCGGTGCCGGCGTTGAAACTGCTTCACCACATCCATTAAATCTTCTTGTTCCACTTCGGGCCAATGCTTCTCGAGGAAAAAAAGTTCAGCGTAAGCCAACTGGAACCTTGGTCGATACTTCGAAGATCGATGAAGATGGATCATAATTCACCCTACATTACTACACCCTTAACATGCATGTCTATTGGACCCGCAAAACTTGTCATTTCTTAGCACTGAACATCATCAAACATCATTAAACCATTGTTGTTTGGAGGGGTGAACAAGTTTGAGTACACGTGGCATGCATGTTGTTGTCCATATCTCTTGATGGAACATCTCCACGTTTGATGACAAACTCCGTACAAGGTGGCCCCACCAAGTTATAACATGTTATAACTGGGTTTATGTTCACCCGATTTTCACTCGTTCAGCACATCTACAGCATCACAGACCATCGAATTATGGGCAAATGTTGACCAACCAAAGTTGCTATCTGAATCCCAGTAAATCGCAGTAAATCCGGTGAAATCATGTTATATCCCAATGCCAATCACCAGGAGAAATCCCAGTAAATTATGAAATCTCCGCAACTACCAAGTAAATCCCATGAAATCATCATCAAATCCCAGTAAACTCCATGACATCATCACTCAATCCACGAAATCACTTCTAGATCCCTGTAAATCCTAGTAGATCATCATTTCACCAGATGGAGGTCTGAGGAGTCATGAGGGTACATCCATTGCTAGGTCTTTCCATGAAAATTTTCACCAACCATTTTGATCCATTTTTGGAGATTTCCCATTGATGGAAACTCCCATACTGTGGATGGGCCAGCGAAATCCTAAAAACCACCAAATGGATGGTTGAAACATGTTGAAGCCCAAACAAAATTATGGGATGTTTACCACCGACCTATCAACTGGTGCAGGATTTCTCAACCATCCACCGGATGAATCGAGATGTTTGCTATAAAAAGGTCCTTGATCTCCCAAGGCACATGAGGAAATTGCTCAAGCGCCGCTCGCCGGAGGTGCGAATCAACACGTCCTGTTTTGAATGTCATCCGCTCCGCATCCGCGAAAGACATGGAGGTTGATAAATGGGACATCCGGTAGAAATGGAGGATGAAATAGGAAACATATAAGAAGATCCATTCTAAAAATCCGTTTTTCAATGTGAACATTCTCTATAAATGTTTGTAACAAATGGGAAAAATCATCGTCTATAAATGGACGTTCAAATGGGAAAAAACACCGAATCAAAAATGCTGGATTTGAGCAAGCAATCTTGTATTTTCAGAGGGTAACTCATGAACTAATGGGCGGGTTACCCTCTGGTAAACTAACATAACTATAGAAAATCACCATTTTGAATAGGTAAATCAACTATTTCTATGGTCCATTTTCCATAGCAAACTGTTAGTTTACCAGGCCGGGTACAGGTTAAAGTAGACCGGTATAACACATGTTAAGACAACACAGAATCGGAGCCGCATATCCTGCAATGTGGGGCCCCTGTTTACGATAGCGTTCAGTTGGCGAACATAACTTCAATTTCACGTTTGGGTTTATGATGCTTGTAACTATAGTATTCTAATGGGGTTTATAAAACAACTTAGCTATCTAGAGGGCCCCACATTATATATATATATACTAATCATATACATATTATATTAACTCATCCACTAACTGTAGTTATATTATGTTATATCTACCATAAACCAAGTGACTGGATCAGGAATGTCGCCGGTGAGCAAATGATGTTTGACCGTAGCGTCACCAATGTGCCGTGGATCTAACCTCATGTGGATGCACTCTGAGTGGTGGGAACTCGAGAAAGTCACGAAACTGGAAGATATGTTGGGGATACGTTGAGGATATATATGGTTGTATATTGTTAAAAATATAGTTATATATATATGTTTTATATATATAGTTATAATATATCTATACACACATAGTTATATATAATATATACTTATGTATATATATATAAATATTGTTATATATAATAAAAACATATAATATAATTATATAATTATGAATATGTGTATGTGTATATAGATATATAATCATATAGTATTATATATAACTACGTATATACAATAGGTAATCCTAGCCTATACATCATGACATTTTTGGATGACTGTAACCCAATACCCTCGCATATAACCGACAATTTGTTTTTCAGATCTCCAGTTTCGTGCACTTTCTGCGGTCCATAATTTTGAGAAATGCCCAGCACTTCCTACCCGGTTGGTGGTTTCAACCCCTCTGAAAAATATTAGTCAATGGGAAGGATTATCCCATATATTATGGAAAATGTTTGACACCACCAACCAGCTACCCTTCGGTAAACCAACATAGATGTGGAAAAAAAATCCATGGCTTTCATGATCTACAAATGGTGGCGTTCATCGGCCTTTTTGCATTTGTTTACAGGATGGGAATATGGGAACAACGTCAACCACCAAGCAGGGACTGTACAGATGCATTGCATCTCTTGGAGTGCAGTAACTAACCACAGTAACTAACCACAGTTTGGCATACCCAGAGGTGGCTAGTGGTAGCTAGTGGTTAGTTGCTGGTGTTCCAAGAATACTAAGTCTTACTAATAAGTAGACCCTATCCATCTGGCCACCAATAAACCACCGACCAAGGCGGCCAATCTTAGATACCCTTCAAACAAAAACAAGCTGTTTTGTATGGCCATTTATATATAGCACGCGATTACAGCACTAAACATCCAAGTTTAAACATGTTTTAATAAGCAAAGAAGGAAAAACAAAAAAACATCCCCACGTGGGCCGCGATTAGTTTCGATGTCGCAGCAACTCTCCACTCTGAACTTTTTCGGCGATGCCACGACATGCTCTCACCACATCAGATCTTCCGCCATAGCTCAAGCAAACGTTCAGGGTCAGTCCAGTGCATGAAGAGGACATCTCCTCGACAGCTGATGCAGCTGCCTGCTTTTAGGCGGCTGCCCTATTGGCCTAGGGACATCCAGAGCTGTAAAAGTACAGCACTTAGTATAGCTAAATATAGAACTATAGATACATATAGGTTAAATATAGGTTAAATATAGATTGAATATAGGTTAAATATACGTAAGGTAGGCAATTAAATAGGATAGACTGGTCTAGAATGATCTAGAATGCCCATGTTATTCATAAATTGACAGCCCGCACCTATGGTTCTCGGAGGAACAGGGCTCTTACAAGCTATGCCGCAATGCCAAGGAATTGCTCTTAGCTGCTAGGCTGCGGTTAGTTCGAAAAGCTTGAATGAACAAATGAATGCGCCATCAAAATCATCAAAAACAACAACAAATGCATATGGTGTTTGTCTAAAATTGGGGTACCCTAAATGTTCATGATTCATCATCATCTTCAGAATCAAACAAGTCAACCCCAACTTTCAAACACACCCAAATCATATGGTTGTGAAAATTAATCTCACCATATCTCCAATATGGTTGTTTATGAATATGTTAAATCCACATAACTTTGCTGCTCAGGAAAAATCCCAGTAAGTCCTCCATCCCATTGAGTCCCATATTAATAATGGTTGGTTATAGTTGTTGATGGGATCTTTCCATATTATATAAAACTAACCAGCCAATAGTAATATATAACAACATTACTATATTAATCAACATTATATTATTATTACTCTTATTTATGAAACATATATATATATCACAATAATAGTAATAATAATGATGGTAGTAGTAATAATATTCATGATAAGAATAATACTGGTGTTAACAACAATAATAACAATAATAATAGTAAATAACTATATTGTCAATATACATATTCAAAATGGTAAGCCAACAAGAAGTGATTGAAACATGTTGCACTTTTATATATATATATATTGCTTGGTTGCATATACCCTCTGGTAAAATAACATAACTATGGACAATCACTACTTTCAGTAGGAAAATAAACTATAAATGGGTCATTTTCAATAGCCATGCTAGTTTACCGGAGGGTAGTTACCCATTTTGTTGTTCAGTCGCACCCCAGGCGATCTCGCTCCTCCAGGCTCGCAACAGCTGCTTTGACATCCTGAGATAAAGGGCTTCAGACCCCAGACCCATCGTGGGCTTACTTCATTTTAAAATATGAATATGAACAAATATATTCAACTATATCTATGTACATGTTGCATGTGTATATACATATATTTAGATGCATATATATATATTATATGATGATATCATACGCATTCAATATATCCATGAGATCCATATAGAAATACATCAATTTGTGACCATGAATTCCTTTCCTCAACAACAGTGCAAGGATCAGGGCAGGGGGAATCACAATGGTGACACTTCAATAACCGTCAAAAATCCCTGGATTTTCTTTATCTGGGCAATAACTGGTTGGATATACTGTTAATAATGGTTAATATATGGTTATTATATGGTTAGTGATTGTTAATAATCCTCTGGTTGGTGGTTTCAACCTACCCCTCTGAAAAATATGAGTTCGTCAGTTGGGATGATGACATTCCCAATCTATGGGAAAATAAAAAAAATGTTCCAAACCACCAACCAATTATCCAAACATCAGATTTTCACATCTATAGACTATGGACATTCAGTTCAACGATGAACAGCCTGCGAACATCTGGGGAAAACCGCTCCGGATCGTTTCATCCGCGATCCAACGAGGATCCGCTGGCAATGGCTCGGAGTCCGAGGCCAGAAATCGAACACGGCAGTTGTGATTCATGGCGTGCTCTCCAAGACGCGGAACTTCCTTAAGAGCCGCCGCTACGGTGAGACATGGTGGTTGGCGAAATGAACACCTCTATAACTATCATCATCATCATCATTATCATCATCATCATCAATATCAATATCAATAATATCATCAGCATCAACATGCTGCTTCAACACACATCATCAATGCTTTTTGTTTATATTTATATTTTGTTATTTTAAGATCAACCAACTTAAATTAGGAAAACATAGGAAAACAACATCATAAGCAAATGTTATCCAAGATTTGCTCTTATCATATAAACAAACATCATTAATTATAATCATCGCCCACTCCCACCATGACGCTGATAGGAACAGCTCCATCATCGCCTCGGCGAAAGATGTGGAGGCAATTTTACACCACCCGCAACTCCGAAAATTCGGCTGTTTTTCGGCGGTTTATGGCCTCTGACAATGTGATGACCTTTTATTAGTTATAACTGATTTTAACTGGGATTATACATTCTATAGATGGGGTTATAAGTAGTTATAACTGGTAAAAGGCCATAACTGTGACACTTTATAATTATCCCGGCAAGAGACCCCAAGCAGATCAAACAGTGTGGGGGAGTGGGAGGATTATCCTTAATGATAATCATCTTTTTTCTGTACTTGTGGAAAATTGCACATTTAAAGATCATGTGATCAATGATGATTTACCCTTCAACATGGTGATTTTCCACATAGCTACGTTAAATAACCAGAGGGTAAAATGACAGCAAATGCTGTGGTCTCCTGATGCAACATCATCAATGACTGGTACAGTACTCAGTAGTTGTGGTCACCCTGCCGTATGCAAAATCATGCGTGGCATGACCCGTCCATATCCACCCGTTTTATCTACTTTCCAGTAAATGAACGTGCCGGGAAGAAAAAGAAAAACACATTTGCAAAATCAATACCTGTAAAACAGGCTATCAGGCTATTGTGTGTGTATTTGCATACTTTTTTTTTTACGCGTGGTATACATAGCCATATAAGCAACGAGGGATCCAACACTGTTCACCTGGATTTTTTTTGTCTTCAATCTTCGAGGGATGATTAAATCACTTAAAAAAACAACTGTTCACTGACAAAAGCACTATATAACTATATATATATGTATATATATATGTTATACCGATACCCCAAGATTTTGCTTTAAATCATGTATAAGTCCTGATCATGCCCCAAATGTTGGCATCATTTATCAGTCCTATCAGTTATATCATACACTTTTACTAGTTTTTAAACAATAAATTTGAATGGTCAGTGAAACATAAAAACGATAGATATATTGATGCTGAATGGATCTACACATACTGTGGATGGTTGCGAATTCCTGCACCACCTGGGATGGTAGAAAACCTAAATAAATAATGGGATGGGATAAACCACCTATTAACTAGTGCAGGATTTCGCTGGCCCATCCGTCCAGTATTTCCTATGATCTTCCGAATTCCACCATCTACACATTAAGACATAAGCTACAGCTAGTGGAGCCCCCAAACGTGATGTGAACGTTGGTTTTTGTTAGCCCCGTGAATACTATAGTTACAATTGTACCATAAACCCAACCGTTATTGAAGTTATTTGCACCAACTTAGCTATCTAACGGGGGCCCCACATTGCAGTGGAGGTTTGAAGCCGGAGGTTTCCAAAGTCATGAAGGTACCCTCAATTCACCTAGACTTGGCGATCTCCAAGGGGATCCCACAATGACTGAAGAAATAAATGTATAACACACACCATAAAAAACACCCATGAATATATTGTACCATTGAGTTATATCTATCTATATCTGTTATATCATCCACCTATCCTGGCTTCAAGCCATAAATAAGATGATATCCCCAGTTTAGTAACTGAGCAAAATGCTTCAGGCATGAAAACGTTACACCGAAAAAAGCCACGGTGAAATGTCATGTTCTGTCATGGTGCAAGGTGCTGCCGTTTCCATGTTTCCATGTGATGTTTCTTCGTTTATAAACCATTCAGTGTGAGGCCCCAGTTCGATAGCGTTCAGTTGGTGCAAATAACTCCAATTTCACTATGGTTTATGGTATTCATAACTATAGTTACTGGGGCTTATAAACCAACAAACATCACTGGGGGGGCCTCACATTGTAACTAGTTCGTAATATAACTATACCATACAACCAACAGTGAGTTATTGGAGAAGTTGGAGTTATGTGGCCCCTATTTTCGCGATCCCTAACTGCAACAGTTGTGGCTCTTAACAGTTATGAATGGGATTCTAACTCCTATAAAACTGAGGTTCTTATATTATACATATTGTATATGTTTCATTATTTTTACTATTATTATACTATTATCATTATTATTATATTATCATTGTATATATATATATATATCATATAGTATATATATTTATATAATATTCATATATATGTATAGTTATATATATAATAGAATATATATATATATGTATATTATATATATATATGTATTATATTATCTTATATTTTTTATATTATATATATATATACATATATATAAATATTATATTATATAAATATTATATTATATTATATATATTATTATTATATATTATTATTATTATTATTATATATATATATCATTAGAATCCGATTTAAAGCTGATAAGGGGCCATCACTGAACTTAGCTGGTGGGTTATCCTCTCGGTTCGTTGGGACCCGCCTGGACCTCCTTCTCCTCGCGCTTCCAATTCTCCGTGGAGAAGGCGAAGACTGTGAGGAACTCGATGCCCAGGTCTGAACACCACAGGATGAACTCACGCAGCTTCTCACCACCAGCTCCTTGGATGTTTGCCATGGTTTCGAGGATTTCATGGGATTTTTTATATAGGTTTTACTGGGATTTCATAGGCTTTAATGGGATTTCCATGGTGACTTAATGGTATTCAATTGGATTCAATGGGATTTAGTGGGACATCAGGGGATTTTTACAACCGAACCTTTTTTTTGTGCAGGCCAGAGATTACTTTTATGGCTATATAGAATACCATGGGATTTTAAGCCCATGTTTGTTGGGATATGGAGCCTCTATAACTATGGCTTTAAGATGTTTTAATCATGTCATAATACGTTATATCGACTGATGCAACGGTGCAAATCCGGTGGCAAAAATGATGAGACTTGACAATTAGTTGCGTTTAGGTCTTTACATGTCAGTGGGGCAACAAATCAGGTTAGATATGAAAGTAATGGAAATATAGGGATTCTAGTCGGAAAACATTCACAAGCAAAAAACGGGAAATACTTGGACCAAGTGATGAAGGAATATCAACAAGAACCGCTTGCGAAGTGTACTCACTAGCAAGTTAGATTCCAAAAGTACAGTAATGGGTTCTTGTAGTTTCAACCTCCATGATTGCTGAAGCAACAATTCCCGAAATACACACCGCTCAGAAACGGACTTTTTCGAAAATGCCTCGAATAAGACATCTCAAAGCCACATAAACACCTGGTTCCACAGGTTCAAGGCCCAAGTCTCTATGCCCGCTCAGGGAATCTCCATATTTCTGTCTGCCAAATCGTCGATTCCCATCCATGATCACTGCCACATGCCTGATTCTTGTTCACCATTTGCGACCAGGAGCCCTTGAAAAATAAAACATGTATTTTCAAGAGTTTCCATCATTCATACAGTGGCGGACCGGCAAGAAAGAATATGATAGAATATGGAACAAAACATAGATCTGCTTAATGCAATTATACTGAAGAAATGTACAAAACATATCATAACATAAACATGCATCACAGAATAATTATCAATCACTAGGATATTCCATTCATGATGCCTGGATTACACCGGCCCATGGATTTCCCAAATCTAATGTGCAAATCATCTTCCAAACACAATTGTCGGAGGTTCCATCTGGAATTTGAGGGATGTAACCACTACAAGCTGGGTTTTTTTCCTAGCTAAGTTTGTTTCTAAACCCCTTGGTGATCTTTGTGTATCTTCTTCCCATACAACTAGACGACGAATGGCCCGAGAGCGTAGAGGAGCAGGGTCTTCTCTTGTTAGTATGGAGACACCATATTAAAAACAATATATTAAAGATGTGATATATGCAGTCGAGAAGAGGAGTATTAAGACAAAATAGCAGAAGTGCAAGACAATAGTTTGCATCGCAAACACTTTTACACACAAAAACTTTTACACACAGACGCTTTTACATACAGACCCTTTTACGCACAGACCCTTTCACACACAAAGTTTTTACACACAGAAGCTTTTACATACAGAAGCTTTTACACACATACGCTTTCACACAGATGCTTTTACACACAGACACTTTTACACTGACACTTTTACACACAAAGCTTTTACCCACAGAAGCTTTTACATACAGAAGCTTTTACAAACATACGCTTTTACACAGATGCTTTTACACACAGACACTTTTACACACAGACACTTTTACACACAGACACTTTTAACAAAGAGCCTTTTACACACAGGAGCTTTTACACACAGAAGCATTTACACGCAGACGCTTTTACACACAAAAACTTTTACACACAGTCGCGCAGAAGCTTTTACACATAGACGCTTTGACACACAGGCACTTTTACATACAAACACTTTTACACACAAACTCTTTTACACATAGACGCTTTTACACGCAGAAGCTTTTACACGCAGACGCTTTTACACACAGAAGCTTTGACACACAAACGCTTTTACACACAAACGGTTTTACACACAAGCGCTTTTACACAAATCACTTTTACATACAGACGCTTTTACACACAGACGCTTTTACACACAGGCCGGCCCATGTTCACGCAGTCACTGTGAAGTCATTGTTGTCGTGGCCACCTCAGCAATTCGACGGAGGGGTGAAGTTCGTACCATGTATTTGGTGGACCTGCATTCAATATAATACAGTCTATAGAAGTATTGCTTGGACAGCTCTGGTTGCAATACAAGAATCAAAGTTAAAAATCAAATAACTAAGCTGCTGACCAGCTTCATGCTTTGACGAACAAACGGAACGCAAGCTTCCAGTTGAAAGTTCCAAGATCATACTATTATGCAAATAGACTTGCTATATATATCTCACTCCGAAGACGGGCAACCAAAAACTAGCTGCAAAACATCGAATGACTGCCACGCACTGATGACAACATGCAGCAGGCCTCCAGAATCTCCGAAGACAAGCAGCACAGCCACGAAAAGCTCTGGAAATGCTTACAGTCATGTCTGCTCGGACAGTTCGGGTAGCAAACCAAAAATATCCATGCCAACCTGAGCAAAGAAATGTGATGCTAAAGTGTTACCCGCAAACTCCACAACCCCATTAAAATCAGTGAATCCCAATGTAACCTCATTAATCCATTCATATCACTGTGGGGGTAAAATTAAGCATGCCTACTAAACATGCCAAGCAAACAAGTCACGATTGCTTAAAACTTGCCAGCGAGACCTGAACATGACACGGATGACCGGAAAATATGCACATGTCAAGCAAACATGCACACGAACGTGTCTGCGCAAAAGAAGATCAAGGCACTTTTACACACAGACACTTTTACACACAGGCGCTTTTACATACAGACAGTTTTACACACAGACGCTTTTACAAACTGTTGCTTTTACACAGACGCTTTTACACACAAAGCTTTTACACACAGAAGCTTTTACAGACAGAAGCTTTTACACAGACGCTTGCACACACACAGACGCTTTCACACACAGACGCTTTTACACACAGACGCCTTTACACACAAACACTTTGACACACAGACGCTATCAGACACTCTTACACACAGACGTTTTTACACACAGACGCGTTTACACACAGACCCTTTTACACGCAAAAGCTTTTACACACAGACGCTTTTACACACAAAAGCTTTTACACACAGACGCTTTTACACACAATCACTTTTACACACAGACACTTTTACACACAGACGCTTTTACACACAGACACTTTTACACACAGACGCTTTTACACACAGACGCTTTTACACACAGACGCGTTTACACACTAACACTTTTACACACAGACGCTTTTACACACAGTCCCTTTTACACACAGACGCTTTTACACACAGTTACACACAAAAGCTTTTACACACAGACGCTTTTACACACTAACGCTTTTACACACAGACGCTTTACACACACAAACACTTTTACACACAGACGCTTTTACACACACAGACACGTTTACACACAGACGCTTTTACACACAAAAGCTTTTACACACAGACGCTTTTACACACTAACACTTTTACACACGGTTGCTTTTACACACAGACACGTAAAATCGCAATTTTTCCTCAGTTTTTGACGAGCGACCCTCATTTCGTGCGAAAGGGTTGCTCGGGGACAAGTAAACTCGCAATTTTACCCCACTTTTCGCCGATCGAACATCATTTCGTGCGAAAAGGTTGCTCCGGCACCAGTAAAATCGCAATTTTACCTCAGTTTTTGCCGATCGCCCCTCATTTCGTGCGAAAGGGTTGCTCCGGCACAACAAGTAAACTCGCAATTTTTCCTCAGTTTTTGCCGATCGACCCTCATTTCGTGGGAAAGGGTTGCTCGGGGACAAGTAAAATCGCAATTTTTCCTCAGTTTTCGCCGATCGACTTTCATTTCGTGCGAAAGGGTTGCTCGGGGGCAAGTAAACTCGCAATTTTACCTCAGTTTTCGCCGATCGACCCTCATTTCGTGCGAAAGGGTTGCTCGGGGGCAAGTAAACTCGCAATTTTTCCTCAGTTTTCGCCGATCGACCCTCATTTCGTGCGAAAGTGTTGCTCCAGGACAAGTAAAATCGCAATTTTACCTCAGTTTTCGCCGATCGACCCTCATTTCGTGCGAAAGGGTTCACGTTTCGTGACTTCCCGCCGGCACCACCCTCGGCCTAAAGAGAGAAAGATAAAGAAGGCGAGAGAGAGAAAAGGGAGAGAGAAAGGACAGAGAGAAAGGAGAGAGAGAAAGGAGAGAGGAAAGAGGAGAGAGAGTGAGAGAGAGAGAAGATGTGAAGATGAGAAGGTGTGAGAGAAGGTGTGAAGATGAGAAGGTGTGAGAGAAGGTGTGAAGAGGAGCAGATGTGAAGAGGAGCAGGTGTGAAGATGAGAAGGTGTGAAGATGAGAAGATGTGAAGATGAGAAGATGTGAAGATGAGCAGATGTGAAGATGAGAAGGTGTGAAGATGAGGTGTGAAGATGAGAAGGTGTGAAGATGAGGTGTGAAGATGAGAAGGTGTGAAGATGAGAAGGTGTGAAGATGAGAAGGTGTGAAGATGAGAAGATGAGATACAGACCCCCACTATTGGAAGAACCCTGCGCTCAGATGCTCTCGGGAAAAATTGGAGTTCTTCCCAACTTGCCTATCTTTTTTGGGCATTAAACAAATCGTTCAACAAATTCATAGCGCGTTCTGCCCAGGTTGCCGCGGCACCACCAGGTTGTCATCGCAGCACTCGTCCAGCGCATCGCGGTCCGATTTCTTCACCTCGGATCTGAGGCCGAAACCAATGGCGCGCAGGGCAGCCAGTAGCGCCCAACCACCTCCCGCTGCACCAACGGCCCTCAAGGCAGCTTGAAAGGCATAGTAAATCCGCAAGCAAAAACCATAGATCGCGCTGAAAGATGCCATGGCAGAGGATTTGGTGGAGAGAAGCTGCTCAGTTAAGATCTAAATAGTTGATTTGTTCCAGTTTCCGGAGAAGACGGGTTCAGCATAGTTCAAGCCGGTGCCACCCCATGGTGACATCCTGTGGTGTGAGAAATGTCTGGCTTAAAGTGTTTCATGACTCACTTGGTGAAAGCTTCGTTGGAGACTCGGTTAGTTGAAACTCCTCAGGTCCTGTTCTCTAAGACTCTAAGTTGTTGATGGATCTTGTGGGTCATTCCACCCTTGAGTCCTTGAGGCACAACATGACAGCTGGCCATGCAAGCTATTGGAATCGTCACCAGCTGATGTGTTGAACCATCCCATACCACCAAAAAACACCATCAATGTCCCAACATATGCTAAACAGCATCAATTGATCATCACCACCAACAGCATCAGCCGCCAGCACCACAAAGACACGACAAACAAATACGCAATTGACCGAGACTGCCGCCTGATCTCATCCACATGAATGTTCTCTTGCATGTAACACCTAGCCGAGCGCAGCTGCCACGGAACTGGCGAGGTCGTGAACCATTTCACGTTTCTATCACGGTCACCCTTGAAACATATTGAAAAACAACAAAGAGAACGAACACTAACGGCACATGAAACATGCTTTCTGGTTGGTGGTGCAATAACCATCTTGAAAAATATGAAAGTCAATGGGAAGGATTATCCCATATATAATGGAAAATAAACTTCATGTTTGAAACCACCAACCAGCTTTGAATATGCCTTGGGAGTTTCCAACATCTTCAACAGCCTGGACAGCCTCCATTCTGCACTGAGGAATCTGCACCCAAGCTTGAAATATTTCACATGTTGATAACACATGGTTCCAACTTCCCCAATTCCAATGAAGAAGTGTAGAACATGACACTCTCAGTAGCTCTAAAGCCCAAAATACCAAAAATCACATCCTGATATGTTCAGAAATCATCAGACATCCCCAAAAATGATGTACAGCAAATACCTTCAGAAAACAGCATCCCAGCTTCTTCCATCCCATTTTTTCAGAGACACCTAGCCGGACTGGTCCCGGAAGCCATTTGAAGCACAGCGCTGCAGTTGGCGCAGACGTCGCATCTGGGAGCGGAAAAACCCGTTCGTTTCTGAAATTTCTACTTGGGGTTGCTATACTTCTGAGAGTTGACATCTAGCAAATTGCTATAAATTGCTTACATATTTCGGAATTGGTGCTTTTTGTCTGTAAAGTATTTGGTTCCGCTATGCCATTGGATTTTCTACGGGCAGAAACAACATGCTGGGTTTGTCTGCATCTATGGCTGGCATATATATATATAATATAATATAAAGAGTGAAAGTGGTAATCAGTTTGTATTTGGTTGGATGCCGCAATGCTATCAATGCTGTATTTGATCGGGATGTCTCATGTAATCTTGTCATTGCCACGATTCGCTTCTGAAAACTCATGTGGGACGGCACTGAGCATGCCTCTACACCGACTATGCAGTATGTTAGCGAAATCAAATCCAATGAATCCATGATGTCCATGAATAAACTCTTGACATTCACGGGCTCCTGAATCCAGTTGATCATCATTTAAATTATATCATTAACAACCTTCTCATGTGGGGTCTCCCTTTCAAAATACCTCAAAATCATATCGTTCCTTTTTTCAATTTCCCAGATATCTTTAACTCATTTACTATCTCATTATAAAATCCAGCATTTTCAACAACTCAAATCCACCCATTCCTCAAACCCAGCATTTTCTGCACCAAAAATTTGCTGCACCTGGCGATGCAATCCTCCAGAGAGGTGCATTCCTCTGTGCTGCACCCGGCGAAGCCCACCGGATCCATGGCCATCACGTGGCGACAGTCGCTGTCGTTCCTGAGAAGTGGCCATGGATGGACCTGGAAGGAAGCCCCGGCTGATTCCAAGGACACAACAGATCCCTACCCTCTGGTTATGACTAATAGTTTGCCATGGAAAATCACCATTTTGAATAGGTAAACCATCTATAAATGGGCCGTTTTCCATGGCTATGTTAAATAACCAGAGGGTAATTGCTGGCAAAAAATATGAAAGTCAGATTGGATCATCATCCCAACTATTGGCGAAAATAGAATTCAGGTTCCAAACCACCAACCAGATCCCCTGTGGTAACGAAAATATAAACCATCCATTTGGGAATGGTTACCACTGATTGATGGAATTGAGGATGGATTATTGTTTTACCAACATTACATATAAAGGAAACTTGAAGGAAATTCATCTATAAATGATTATAAAAGGAGGGGTTCAATGGCCAGGATTGATTACAAACGGGTAATTGTATCATTCATGAAACCCAATTTCTCCTGCAACAACACACGTTTTTTTCCTGGAAAATAGAGAAAAATCTTGTCCAAACATATCGATAATGAATCAGTTTTTACAGTTTTCTTGCTGGCAAACATCATTGTGTGGGATTGGTTAACCACGAGGCTTTTATCAATTGTCCACATCAGTCGACCCTTCAGGTTTGGGAGTTTGCCACATCAATTTCCAAACCAAAATGGGTCGGTTTGAAGGAAAATTTACTGGAAACCACAAATTTACCAGGTAAATGTGATGATGTCTGGCAAAAAACCCTGTTTAAACCAACTGCATGGGAAACTAGGAAATTTGTGTTTGTGCTAGCGGGTGGAAAACCGCGCGTGTAGTCGTGCCACTTTTTCAATATTGGGTTTGGGTGGTGTGGGGTGGGGCAATAACGTTCAAGTTACATGCACGCAAATGGTTAACAGTGGTATGTACCCCAACTCCGAGAAACAACATAAAACACCCATTTTGATACATTTGCTTCATCTCCATGGATCCTGTAGCTCTCTGCCGGAAGATTTCGCGGACGTTGATACGGCATCCAGCCACAGTACTCCACAAAACCAATGCTTGCAGCATTCCTCAGGCTTAAGGGATGGTGGAAATGAGATATCAATGGACAAAGGCAATTGTGACAATATTTTTTGGTATCAAACTATCCATTGCCGCGATATGTTCATTCAGTATATCTTGATATAATATGAAATGTTGTGATAGTCATGTAGATAACTTTCATGTACTGGAAAATGTGGGCAAGACTTGAAGATAAAGTCATTTATCATTTATCTTTCTCTGATGTTCTCTGTATCGTCTGAATGTATGTACGCATATTTACCTTATTCTAGAAATAATAAATTAGAAAATCCTCAACCTACCGTTGAACTTTGTAAAGAAAAAATCTAATGAGTATAAATATATCGGTTCTTCATCATCATCATCATCACCAACATCATCATCAGCACCACCAACATCATCATCATCAACATCATCATCACCATCATCATCATCATCAACAACATCACATACATATATATATGTATATAAATCATGAAACCGACATTATATTATATATTATATAATATATTGTGTTATATATATATATATTATGTGATACTGTTTCTTCATTAAAGAAAACATATTATAATCGCAGGAAGTTTAGAAGTCAAACTTGCGACAGTATGCCCAGATGGAGCAGCAAAGGTGGGAAGAGTCAGAGAAGAGAAAGAGTCAGTAGAAAGAAGATCAGAGAAGAGAAAGAGTCAGAAGAAAGAAGATGCAGGTGCGCGAAAAGGTAGAAAGTCGCGGAACACTGTGTTTTTCCCATGGTTTGTGGCTCCGGAGGGTTGAAAAGCAGGCTCGCTAAAGCTGCGGGTGCGGAGCAATCTGGCCAGATGAGGGATGAAAAGTTGCACGCCGATGTGGCGCAAAGCACATCTGGAAGTCAAAATGTACAAAACACACCAGCGGCGGACCACTCTTGGAAGTTGAGATGACGAAAAAGTGCATGCCGTTGGGGCGCGAAGCACATTTCCAAGTCAAAATGTACAAAACACATCAAAACACACCATTCTCGGATCACTTTTGGAAGTTGAGATGTCAAAAAAGTGCACGCCGTTGTGGCGCGAAGCACATCTCCAAGTCAATAGTGTGAAAAACTGATGGGTTCGGAGCACTTTTGGAAGTTCAGATGTCGTTTCGCGTGGCAAGCTTCTCTAGCATTTCCAAAAACGATGGCAGGCGTGGGACATTTGAAGAGGAATTGGAGAGATGCATTCTGCGTGGCAGGCGCAGTACAAGAGACATGTTCATAAGAGATGTTAGGAGGTCAGGGCGCTGATTTCCTGAGAAGGGTTGCATTTCGGAGCATCAGATCTTCAGATTTTGCTGAGATAATTTTGCGTGACAGGTGCAGCACTTCGTATGACTTGGCATCACTTTTACGTGGCAGGCGCGGTACTTTAGACACATGGACTGGAAAAATCGCAAAACACATTGGCGCGAGGCCGTGAGCTGCGCACTCAACTTTCGATTTTTGAAGGAAGTCTCGCAGAATGGCTTCGTTTGTAATGTTGTCACCTTCGAAAATGAGGAAGTCTCGAAGAATTGCTTCGTTTTTGATGTTGCCAACTTCAAAAGTTGGAGAATTCCTTCATTTTGGACGTTATCAAGTTCATACTTTTCAAAAGTTGAGGAAATCTCACAGAATTGCTTCGTTTTCAAGCTTGCGGATTGCAGATAGACAGATAGATAGATAGACAGACAAGTACAACTACAACTACCACTGCACTAAAGTGCTATACTACAACTACGAATACAAATAAACTACGCCACATTACGCTACACTAATTACACTGCTACACTGCAGTACACTGCACTACACTGCAGTACACTGCACTACCCTACACTAATTACATCTAATTACCTACACTACGCTAATTACACTACAACTACAACAACTACTACTACCGCAGCTACAACAACAATATCAACTACATCACATACACTACACTGCGCTAATTATAACTGCAGCACGCTACAACTACAAATACAAAGGCAACTACAACTACACTACATTACACAAAATTACGCTAATTACATTAAATTACGCTACATCTGCAACTGAAACTGCGGCTACAATACTAGCTACCGCTAAATTGCACTACACGACACTACACTAATTACACTACAACACTCTTACACTACCTTACACTAAACTACAGTAGACTACACTACTCTATACCACCTTGTCATTGAAATCTTTCCGCGCAATTTTGCTACACAGCCCCACCAGCTTTGGAGTTTGATTGTGTCGATACGATTGGATTCAAATAGATTCCTTGAATTTTAAATTTGAATGATTGATAAACAGATTGTGAGACATCAACTGCAGCCTGAGTGAGAAATCAGCATCGGTCTTCACTCATTGGCTTGGCACAGGCGTGGGCGTTGCAGGAAGGAAACGCAATTCAAGCTCTGGGCACCTATGTCATCACACGCTGCTCACGGACAAGGGTTGGAAGGCAAGGCCATGATGTGAATGTGGATTTTATAGTATATATAGATTAATTCACTGATGATGTGCATACTTTATTAACTGACAACTTCCTGGTATCACTCTTTTTGTCTGCTCGCATCGGAGTGACCTGTGCACTGTGCTCAGACCTGCAGTGGTAATTTATCTTTAACAATGGCTTTAATGATTTGTTTTGTTTAGCAAATTAGATTGTTTAATGGGGGCCTAGATGCCTATGAGATAATGCTGATCTGGTACTGGGATACCACTGCAAGCATGTTTCGACTAAATTACTGCTGCACGCAATCGAACTTCTTGAAGAATTTCTTATCATACAAAACCTCATCAATGGCTGCCTGGACTCTTTCTTCCACAATGGTGCTAATGGCCGCCCCAGACATTGTTCTGGATGTTCACCAGGGTAGTTCACGAGACGTAGCACCCTTCTTCGTCAGATGTGTGCCAGGTTTCACTTGTTGTAACCTCACTGATATCCGAAATGGCCGGCGATGTTGGTGACAAGGGCTTTTGATCTTCCTTGCTCTCCGCCTCAGTCGGCATTGTTCTGGCCTTCGTCTTCTTCTTGGAAGTTTCCTTCTTCTTTTCTGGCTCAGAAGAAGGTCGTGGAGGATAGTGGTACCCACAATAGAAATCACCAGAGTCAGTGTAAATTTTCACTTTCCCACGATCTTTCAGCATCAGGGCTCTCAACGAATACGGACCGTCATCGTCATCATCCTCCTCTTCCAATCTTCGTTTTTTTCTTTTCTCCTCCTCCTGTTGCATTTTGGCTTTCTTCTGCTCCTGTTCCTCTCGCTCCAGAATTTCCACTCTGAGTCTGATCTCCTCTAATTCCTTTTCATCCTGCATGCGCTTCTCATGTATGCTATTGGTGAGCTCCTTCAACCATGTGGACTTAATTTGGCCGTTTTAACCATTGCAAGTTAAAATACCTTGGAGCCAGCAAGCCGTAAACCAACCAGAATAGGTATACAAGAGTGCTACATATGCTACTTGGATCAACGTACTTTGTGCATGCATGCTGTGAGATTTTCGGTTTTGGAGTTTAATTAATAGTAAAATGTAGTTCTGCACATGTATCTGCCTGTTCAGTTGTGTACAATTTAAAAATGCCTTACCCACTTCCAAAAATGATCAAGAAGTTTAAACATGAGAAAATTGCAAAGTGAATGTGCCAGTAGAGTGCAGTTGTTTTTTTGCTGACACCTCATGAACAGTAACATGTTTCAACTCTGTGGATGAATCCTGTCCTTTCTCTAGTGCGACTTACCGATGGCAAAGAGATGTCACCAGTGACATGAGGAATTCGATTTGCCGCTATTTTGGACTGACGGAAAGATCATCCAGCTTTTTGCTGCTGGGGCTGAAATCAAATTTCTAACACATTCATTTTAGCAAATCATACAACTTCAACAGTGAAACTTAGGACAGTTGATGAAGCACAAGAAGTGTATGAATCCGGGATGACTTTTCTGAGATCACACTTGCAGCTGACCAGACTTAGTTCAAGGACTGATGGATTTCAGTGTGTATGCTTTTGTTTCCCTGATTGTCAGTTCACGGTTCATTCTATACAATGGTTACACACGTAAAAACACTGAATGTACAGTTCTTCTTATTCTTTTGTTCCTCTTATTATGTATGCAGGAGAAATGTGCTTCAATGGTCGGCCAAGCCGAAGATACATGTGGTGCGCTTAATTCCGAAAAGCCGAATTCCTCACATGATTTTAAACACCTCTGCTTTAACCATACTCAAAATTGTCTCTGTTCCTTTGCTGCTGGCACGCTCAGAACTTCCACCATCTACTACGCGAGACGCGAAGATTCAGAGACTTTGCAAAAGTGCATGCGTGCACATGTCGCTGCCTTGTGTGCATGGTGTGCATGGTGCGCATGGTCATCCATTGTGTCATGGTGCGCAGAGTGACTGATGATTTATAGCCGGATGTCACTTTGACTAAGGACTAAATGGCCGTTTCTTCCACGCCTTTAGTGATGAGGATGCAATGAAGTGGGCCAAGATGATCGCCCGAAAGGCACCGAGAGTACACTTAGAGAAGGCTGTGCTACGTGCTGCGAATTTGAGACTGAGTATGCTAAGATGGCGAACTCGGTCACTCAATGAGCAGGTGAAGCGCAGAAGATAAAATGTAGGTCGCAAGGGTGTGCTTGCTTGCATTTGACACGGTTTGGCTTCATTGTGACATGACTTTGAACAAACCACAAATATGCAGTTTTGCACATAAACCCAACGTCGTGGTCAAACCTTGATCTCCGACAACGTCGTGGTGAAACCATGTCACATGACTTGTAGGGTATAAATATATATATATACACGTACTGAATACTGTGTATATTATCGAAGAAAAAATAGAAGTCAAACTTCCGACAGTGTGGACAGATGGAAAAGCAGAGGTGGGAAGAGTCGGAGAAGAGAAAGAGTCAGAAAGAAGATCAGAGGAAAAAAAGAGTCAGAAGAAAGGAGATGCAGGTGCGCTAAAGGGTAGAAAAGTCGCAAAACACTGTCTTTTTTCCAGTGTTTTGTGGCTCCGGAAGGTCTAAAAGTAGGCTCGCTAAAGCGGTGGGTGCGGAGCCATTTGGGGAGATGAGAGATGAGAAAAAACCTCACGTCCGGAGCACTTTTGGCAGCTGAGATGTTCAAAAAGTGCACGCAGTTGTGGCGGGAAGCACATGTCGAAGACGACATGTTTAAAACACACCAATGCCGGACCACTTTTGGAAGTTGAGATAATGAAAAAGCGCACGGCGTTGAAGCATATTTGGGAGTCAAAATGTAGAAAGCACACCATTCTCGGAGCACTTTTGGAAGTTCAGATGTTGAAAAAGCATACCCCAAAAAGTTGACCTGCTGGGTTGGGGCTTCAGATTTTGTAGACATATTTCTGGAAAACACGAAAACGGCCTCTACAAAATCAAAAACATAGCATTTGAACAGGAACTTTTGCGGTCTACAAAAACCAAATCATGGTACCATCCGGCGCTTCTACAAAAACCAAATCATGGTTAAAAACCTGGTTCAAATACACCCTCAAAAGTCATCCCAGAAAAAATGCATTTTGTAGAGAAACTTCTGTTTGGGGCCTAAATGCCACCAAAAACAATGGGTTTTGTAGAGGCTCCCCTGTTTCTCCGTAACTGCATTTTCAAGAATATGTTGCCATCACTCATCACGTTCCTTGCTCATCATTGTTTCAAAAGGTGTTCGATGGTTCATCACTCTGCGAGCCTCTGCCTCACTATGGGGCAAAAACGAAATCACACACGGCACAAAAAAAATACCGTTTTTCTCATGTATCAGAATGCTATCAATTTCATTCAGTCTCAACATTTCAACCAGCAAAAAAAACCAGGAGTTTCCGCTGCAAAATCCAGACCGTTGATGGCGGCATTCGAAACCATCACATCTCCAGGGGTAAACATAAATGGTTGACAAGCATCGCCGAACAAGAACCAGAAGAAAACGTAAGACCACTTAAGAGCCTCCTCAAAATCAGAAACATGGGCCAAGGGGGCAGCGAAGGTCTCTACAAAATCAAGATTGTTCAATTAAGGTTTAATGGGTGCTTTAAGGATCTTTGGCCGGGATTTGATGGGCCGGGCGGGACAGTTGGTTCTTAACATTTGCTTTGTATAGGAGTGTATCCCTAAAAAAAATAGCATACCAAACCTATAAAAAGGACTCGCAGCGCGTATTCAAGCCCTATTGCTTCATACCATCTGTTTTTGCATGCTGTTTTTGGTGGTGATGTTGATTAATTTTGTATGTGGACGGATGGCGTTGGCTGTTTTTAGGCCCACAATCACAAAATCAGAAACATGGGCCAAGGATGGCCACGGGCCACTGTTTGGGTCTCTACAAATCAGACCAAGGGCCACTTGAAGAGCCTGTGCAAAATCAGAAACATGGGCCAAGGACCACTTAAGAGCCTCTACAAAACCAGGAACATGGGCCGAGGGCCAACTCAAACATCTACAAAATCAAGCCAGACTGCAATGCAGGTCAAGGAGAGGTTGGTTTCTGTTGAACCTTTGGGGGGTACGTCTTCAGGATTTACAAAAGGCAGAGTCGGTACAAAATTGAGGCCGTTTGGCCCACCAAACGGTTTGTAGGCCTTCAAAAAAGACAGGTTTACAAAAAGTTTTTGTGCAATATAGATCTAATTTGATCTAATATGTACATTTACGCACAAGTATGAAAACAACTGTAAGCAGGTCGTGCCAGAACAAACTTTGCACAAGTTCAAACGGCCACAAAACAGTGCATAGCATGCGGCTGTGTGCCTAACGACCGACAAGTTAATTGGTTCATTGCACCAGCGAAGCATATTTAAGCGCCTCGTTTAGGTGGCGTGTTTTCGATCAAAGGCATTTTCGAAGTGGGAATCTACCCGAAAAAAACAACGTTCCCACAGATTTTCGATAATCCTTTAAGATCATAATCCAAATTTTCGGGTAGCAAACAGCTTGACCCAAAGCAATCCGCTGAGAAGTATAGAGATGACAGGCTCTTTCATGCAGCTGACCAGACTACACCAGACTACGCTACACTACACGACACTAAACTACGATACACCATACTACACTACACTACACTACACCAAACTACACTCACTATACCGACTATACCACACTATTCAACACTACACAAAACTACAGACTAGACTACTACACTAAACTACACTACACTACACTATACTTTACAACACTAAACAACACAATACTACAACAACAACCACAACAACAACAACAACAAGTACTACTACAAGTACTACTACTACTACTACTACCACTACTACTACTATTACCACTACTACCACTACTACTACTACTACAACTACTACTGCTACTACTACTACTACTGCTGCTACTACACTACTACTGCTACTACTACTACTACTGCTACTACTACTACTACTACCACTACTACTACTACTACCAGTACGACGACGACGACTACTACTACTACTGCTACTGCGACTACTACTACTACTACTACCACTACTACTACTGCTACTACTACTACTACTACTACTACCAGTACGACGACGACTACTACTACTACTACTACTGCTACTGCTACTGCTACTGCTACTGCTACTACTACTACTACTACTACTACTACTACTACTACGACTACTACTACTACTACTACTACTACCAGTACGACGACGACGACGACTACTACTACTACTACTGCTACTGCGACTACTACTACTACTACTACTACTACCACTACTACTACTACTACTACTACTGCTACTGCTACTGCTACTGCTACTGCTACTGCTACTGCTACTGCTACTACTACTACTACTACTACTACTACTACTACTACTACCAGTACTACGACGACGACGACTACTACTACTGCTACTGCTAGTACTAGTACTACTAGAGCTAAAACTACCACTACCACTACAAATACCGTTACATATACAACTGCACCTACAACTACACTTATACTAGAGCTACAGCTGCACTACAACTACAGATACCACTGCATTACAGCACAACTACAACTACTACTACAACTACCGAAACTACAGTTACAACTACAACTGCAACTGCGACTACAACACACTACGCTACCACTACAACTACAACTACAAACTACCACTACAACTACGACTACAACTATAGGTTGCGGCCATGTTAACGACCCTGGGTAATTTGCTAACTTCGAAATGAGTCTCAAGGATTCAGTGCTGCGTTTAGCAATGTATTTGAAAGGTCGTGATGGAACCTGCTGTGTTCAGAACGTCCCCTTTTTACCATGGGTTTGAGCCTCATTTTCGCAAATCCCATTGGCTCTGCGGCTCGAACCCACAGCTTTGCCAAAAATAAGCGTTCTTTTGTCCTCTACTCTAGCGAGATGCCTTCTTCGCAAGAGAGCCAACTGCTTTCAGCAAGTGCGGCCTTGCGTGCCATTGGGACATGAAAGCCAAAACGTGCGTTGCAGCCGTGAATTGTCACAGTGGCTTAGTAACAAACTTCTTCAACTGGTTCCATGCCTGGTCTAATCATTGCATTCCCATCAGTTTGGGAAGCTTTCGAATTTTCACTAATTTTGAAAACTGCATCTTGATTGTAGCGCACAACATTTTTGAAGTGCATGCACGTTAACATCCCACCCCACCCCAACCCCCATGATCAGCGTAACATCATCAGCGTAACATGAACGTTAACATCCCACCCCACCCCCCCCAACCCCCATGATCAGCGTAACATCATCAGCGTAACATGAAGGTCCCATCCCACCCCAACCCCCCCCCACTCCCATGATCAGCGTAACATCATCAGCGTAACATGAACGTTGACATCCCACCCACCCCACCCCAACCCCCATGATCAGCGTAACATCATGAGCGTAACATGAACGTTAACATCCCACCCCACCCCACCCCAACCCCCATGATCAGCGTAAAAAAACACTTTCCAATGGGGTCGCTAATGCGGCCGTGAGCTACATCTACAAAGGCGACTGCAACTACAACTACAACTACAACTCAACTACACTACAACTACAACTGAACTATCACTGCACAACATGCACTACACTACTACACACTGCACTACACACTGCACTACACTACCACTACACTACACTACAATACAATACACGACACTACAATACACTACACTACAATACACTACACTACAATACACTACACTATACACAATACACTACCTCTACAGCTAGCACTAGCACTACCACTACAGCTTCAGCTACACTACAACTACAGCTACCACTGCCTTACACCACAACTGCAACTACAACTACAGCTACTGCAACTACAGCTACAACTACAACTACAACTGCGACGACTACAATTACAACTACACGACCTTAAACTCCAACCACCTTTCGGTCCACTAGTGGATTTGCTCTACCATCATGCATCACAACAACTCACCTCTCGTATAGTTGCCTATCATTGAAGCTTCCGCCACCGCTTTGTGCAGTACTACTGGTATATATGCAAAATACGTATATATATATACATATATATATGAAAGCTATAATCATCATGCAAATCTCGATAATTATCTACTATCTGTCTATTAACTGACCTACGCATATATCAAACAACAACGACGACGACGACGACAGCAACAGCAACAGCAACAGCCACAACGACAACGACGACGACAACAACAGCAACAACAACAACAACAACAACAACGCACGTATCCATACACAATGAGCATATCTACCAGTTGCAGTGTATATCATTAGGGGTTGGTAAATGTCCTACTTGAACATCACCCACCATCGGGATACAATCTCCAATAAATACTTGAACGGTTTTGAAAGTGATGCTCTTTTTAAATCCCCAAAGTGCCAAAAAATTACCAAGCCCTGATCATGGTATATCTATTTATCATTGTTTATCCGCATGCATCATCAACCTACCGCGCTGCCAGGTTTCTGCAAGAGCCACTGGGTATCCCCAGAAAGGCACAGAGCTTGTGGACGGCCCTGGGCATGCGATGCCCCCGGTGCCCCAAGCCATCGGGATGATGGATTTATGATAGATCGGTTGCCAGTAACAAAATATGATTTAAGTGTGCTTGAATGACGTGCTTTTTTGTCAATGAATGTCAATGATATTTTAACGGAGTCTTATGTTGATTTCATGGGATTTAATGACGATTTCATGGTTTGAATGAGAAATTTGATGGCATTTAAAAGCGATTTAAAGACGTTCCTATGGGATTTAGAAAGCTAAGCTGGCAAAGATAACTTGAGTGACTGAGTATTTATCGTAGGTATATCGAACTAGTTAAGGAGTAATTTGGTGAATTGTATGATTTATTGCAACTGAAATATCGGACGAGCGAATAAACCAACCAACAAAACACTGAGTGGCAATGGTTCATGGCTAACGTGGTAGTAAACACAATGCCATAAACCTACAACAATATACAACAAGAAAGAGGCTATACAAACAATTCACTTCTGGTGGGATATTGGGATGGGGCCTTTCATTAATCATTAATCGCCAGCGAGGCTAATGCGCCTGGATCTGAGACTGCCAGAATGCCAGAGAGACTGCCAGAATGTCAGATAATAGAATGTCAATATATATATATATATACATATATATATACATATGTATATATATATATATATATACATCATATACACTTCCACATGGTATGTCAGATATATATATATATATATATGTCACAATTGTGTGAAGTTGCTTAGCTCCGTCTTCTTCCAAATGTGCTCATCATGGATCATCTTCATCTTCCCAAAAGAAACAAAAAATATATATATATACGTTGGAAATAATATGTGGAAAAATGATGAGTAACCAAACCAAAGATTTCCGGTCCTGAAAATTGCGCTGAACTTTTAATCATTATATAATACACCCGTACTCACCATTAACATCTATTATCATCATTAACCACATAAGAAACTAATCATGGTGAATTTGCTAATCATGGTGAATTTACGCCCATATAAGAAACAATCCACTAAGAATTACTCACCATTAATCTAGCTTTCCCCGGTTCAAACACTGAGCATTTTCGTGGAATCCTGCGAAAACCATGGCGTTCCCTGGCCTCCGGCGCCAGGCAAGTCCCGTTGCTATTAATGGCGAGTTGACCCATACACTCCTGCGCAAAAGCGCCCGCTGCGCCCGCTGCGCCCGCAGCATGGGATCTACACGTGGTGGGATAAACCATGAGATTTTTTAGGTGATTTAAAGGTTGGTTGGTTGGTTTTTACGTGATTTTTTAAAGGTGTTCAATGGAGATTCTTGTGATGTTAAAAGCGGATTTCCTCTCAACCAAACATGGCTTGCTGGAAAAGCTTCCATTTTGGTCCATGTTTTTCCACATTTCTTAGGATGCCATGATTCGATATGGCACGATGAAATGTAGCTGGACTCACAAGTCGTTGGTTTAATAAGCACATCAAAAAAAGGCAAATGTATCAACATATATCACATATATCTGGGCAAATTATCATAGTTCACTAACCTGAATTAAGGTCATTTCTATATGATTTCCCTAAAATAAACCATGATTCCAGGCTTCGGTCGAACAGGGTTCGGTCGTTTTATCCAATTTACCCAGATATTAATGTCATCTTCTTGAAGTATTAAGATCAAGTTCTGGCTCATCTGGATAAATGAGCACAATTCACCAACCTGAAAAGAAGGTCAACACGTCAGGTAGCAACAAGGTGGCCACCCCCCCAGTCATAAGTTATAACCCCAATAACTAGTTCGTTATATCCCCCATTAAAAAAAACATAGTGATGTTCATCAACTTTGCTATCCCAAGCCCAGTCAATCTCATCAATTTCCCATTGAATCCCAATACTTCATGATTAAATCCAATGAACATTTCCTATTAAATCACCCTTAAATCACCCTTAAAAACAAAGAAAAAACACATTAACCCCATGAAACCCCAAAACAAACTCCTATGGAAAATCATCATCTTGATCCATTTTTACGGGTGAAAGACCCGGCCTGGTAAACTAACAGCTTGCGAACTTGAAAATGACCATAGAAATAACTGATTTTCCCATTCAAAATGGTGATTTTCCATAGTTTGTGTATGTTTGCCAGAGGGTATCTATCATAAACCACCATAATTCCAGTTGCCTGGCAAAAGCATTTCTCCAACGAGGATCCCTCGGGGCATCGAGCATCACGAGCATCGCGATCACCTGGCGAAAAATCGTCAAAAAAAAAACTAGTTTTACCAAAGAAAAAACAGGGGAAAATAGTGTTTAAATTTAGAAACTAGGCAAACATATGGGAAACTAGTGTTTCAATGAGGGTTTTAGTGAGGTTATACATGTTTAGTATGGGAAACAACTATGTGAACATGATGATCAAATGGATGACAACAAAAAAACAACAGAGGTTTAATGGTGACTGTGTTTTTTTCATGGGGATATCATTCCATAAATGTGGTGACTTCATTGACTTGAATGACTGGAATTTGGGGCCACAACTGTGGGGCTCCAAAGTTCGCCGGGACAGCTTACGTGGGGCAATAACTCGATTTCCCAGATGCTCCATGTATGGAATATTTGCCTACATTTGGGTGATATTCCATACATGGAGCATATGGGTTTTGGAATGTTACTTTTAAGGTAAATGAGTCCAGTTGCTGACCAGTTACCAAGTTACCTTGAACTTGGACTCATTATAACAAACTACTAATTCCAACACTATAATAATGAACTTGTTACACTATGACTACGTATAGTTATAAACTGGTGGATATGTATAATCTACAATTACCATATTATGGTTGGTCAACTATTGGACTATGTGAAATCTATATCAAACTTATCTGGTTGGTGGTTTTAACCATCTTGAAAATATTAGTCAATGGGAAGGATGATCCCATATATGGAAATTAACAAATCTTTGAAACCACCAAGCAGCCATTTATAGAATGTATAACCATGTATAATCCCAGTCAAAACCCGTTATAACCAGTTATAATCCCAGTTATCACCAACCAGTTATATTATGATAAGTGGATAGTTGGTCAATCTTCCTGTCCAACCAGAATATCCAGAATGGTGAAATCCTTCGGATCATGGGACCTATGGGACCTGTCGGACCTGTCTCAAACTTGAACCATGAAAAATACGGCCTGGGCCTATGACAGACTGGTTGGAGATATTCCATGTATTCCTACTATGTGAGGCCCCCAAGATATAAGTTGGTTTAGATTCGCCCCAGTAACTATAGTTATAAATACCATAAACCAAAGTTACTGGACTTATAGACCAACTTTGCTATCTTGGGGGCCTCACATTGTAGGAAATGGTTGATGAAGCTGTCATGTCATAAGACCCTAAATTCGCTAAAGCAATACATCAATCAATAAGTCTTCCATGAGATAAGGCGAACCGTAACCATCAACAAACGATAAAAATATTTGGGCGAATCTTCAACATCTAGAATCTAGTGGGGTCCCCGAAAGGTAACCCAATGAATCAATCAGTATCAACTATTTCAACATGAGTTAGCTGGTATATAATATATAACCCATATGCTCCATGGTGCTGGAATATTTACCATCATTTACCCGAACAAAATCACCTAGTTTTGTAGGTAAATATACCATACATGGAGCATATGGGTCATATTCTAAAGGTATGATCCCATCGACTTTTTTTCAACCATGGGTTCTGAACTTTGGTTGAACACCCGCGTTCAAGTGCAGGGCAGACTCTGCTGCGCCTGTAACCACAAAGCTGCGAAACATGCTGGTGCAAGCCGCCTTCGCCGTTATCCTTGACACTGCTCCCAGGTTTGTCCGGAATTTCGTCGCGTTTTCAGCAACGAAACAGTGGGGTTTGCAAACATACATGGTGATTCAAACAGCACCATGTTTCTTTTAACCAACAATATGGAGTCTAGCCAACAGTTAACGTCATTCACTTGACTTAGTTGGGTCTGTACAAAGCCTATCCAAAGAAGCAGGGATACCCAACTCTACAGTAGTTTGAATAGGGAAAATGATTGTCAGCCAACATCAGTCAAGATACTAAGGGGTACCAGTTGAGAAGTGGAAAAAGCGCACGCCGCTGTAGTGCGAAGCACATTTCGAAGTCAAAACAGGTTAAACACGTCAGGTTCGGAGCACTTTTCGAAAAGTGCAAGCCGCTGTGGCGCGAAGCACGTTTTGATGTCAAAAGTGTGAAAAACTCATGGGTTCGGAGCATTTTTGAACGTTGAGATGCGGAAAAATTGTGCGCCATTGCTGCGCGGAAGTCAAAATGTACAAAATCATGCTCGGAGCACTTTTTGAAGTTTGAGCTGTTGAAGAAGAGCACTCGTGTTAAAAACTGACAGTCTCGGACCACTTGTGGAAGTTGAGATGTCGAAAAAGTGCACAACGTTCTGGTGCGAATCGAAGTTTAAATGTACAAAACACCTCATGATCAGAGCACTTTTTGACGTTGAAGCGGTATTTTTTGTGGCACGTGCAATGAAGTCTGCACCTGGATAGACAGATAGATAGACAGAAAGATAGATAGACAAATGGTCAGATAGATAAATAGCTGGATAGATACATAAGTAGGTCGATTAATACCTAGATAGATAGATAGATAGATGGATGGATAGATAGGTAGGTAGATAGATAGGTAGGTAGATAGATAGATAGATAGATAGAGAGAGAGAGAAAGATAGACTCAGAGCCTCAACCACCCTTCAATCCATCAGTCGGTTCACTCTGCTATCCATTCATCACATAGTTTCTTATCTTTGAAACTTCCACCACTGCCTTGTGCGGTAGTAAGTCATCGCTTCGTGGCTTATGTCTTTTATACATGGGTGAACCAACTCCAGTTAGTAGCCAATTCCGAGTCGTTGGTTTGTCATCGCCACTATCCCTTAACGATAGTTGTAAGTAGCATAAACCATGATCAGCTACAAGTGATTCTTTAAGTTATCATAGTAATCAAAATATCACAAGCCATAGTTATTTATATCCCATAGTATGCATATATATATAATATATATATATATAATATTATATATATACACACATATGTAACATACACAAATTATCCCCATAAACCAAGCTTAGCTCCATAGCCTTAGCTCCAGGGCACCGTTCATCGAAGATGGAGGACGCCACACAACGGCCGTCTTTGAGCCAGGAGTTGCCTGAGCGAACGATGGAGGTAGACGTCATGTTGAGAGCAAGGTGGGACCTTGTGGCACAATAGCTAGAACCAAATGGTGATTTCGTGGGACTTCAAATGCATGGGATTTAATGGTGATTTGATGGGATTCAATTGGATTCATATAATGGTGATTTAACCGTGTTTTTGTGGTATCTAATTGGATTTAATCACGTTTTAATGGGATTTGCAAAGCTAAGTTGGTAAACAGAATCTCCAATAACTATTGGGTTTATGGTGGATACATAGCGAACGAGCTAATTGGGTGAACATAAGCCAACACACAGAACTGGGGGAAACAACCTTATCACAATTGATAGCAAGCCAAAGACAAACAGAAGAGCTGAACGTCTGAACATCTCAAACAATCTATGACATTCCCTCTGGTAAACTATAGCTATGGAAAATCACCATGCTATTAATGGGAAAACTCACTATTTCTATGGCCATTTTCAAGTTCGCAAACTGTTAGTTTCCCAGGCCGGGTATGTCCATAAAATACCCCTTGGTTGTAAACAAATGGCAAATCGGCCCAGCAGTAAAGCAAAATGCTAGCTGAAACCTGGGTTTGTCTTAGGGGTTTCCTCTAACAGTAACTAGAATACCCTCTTGAAAAAGGCTATATACTGCTTACATTAGGTACCACCAGCAGTTATAATATACCCCTTTCTTGTCTCATTCATACCAAGTTTTTGTTCACCAAAACATACCACATTTTTTGTTCAAATATACCCCAAATTTGGTTTACATAAATATACCCCAAATTTGGTTTACATATACTCAATTTTTTGTTCATAATATATACCCCAAATCTTGTTCAAAATGTACCCCAAATTTTGTTCAAAATATACCCCGTATCTTGTTCAAAATATACAGCAAAATGTGTGTTCCAATTATGCCCCTAAAATATCGAAATCTACCCCAACGTGTGCTCCAAATATAAACCTTCTTTGAGAGAATCATGCCCTTTGTAGTGAACACATGTCCTTTTTTTCTGCAACAACACCATTCATTGTTCTTTCGAAATGCTTGTGACATGTGTTTTAAATACCACTCAGGTATGGTTAACTGTCTATTTGTTCCGCCTATAGACCAGGACCATGTGATTTCCAAGGGTTCAGGAAACTTCCAAGGGTTCAGGGAGCTGTGCCCCAAAATACAAACCGTTTGTCCACGGGCTACACCTAAAGTCTTATGTATGTCTTATGTTCCCAATTCTTGAATGGCCATATGTATGGCCAGCAATCCTTGGCTTTCGTGAGTGCAAATGACTCTCATGTTCTCATTATCATAGCATATGATGTGTATGTATATTTATATATATATATATATGTATATATATATATATACAAACATGTGTGTATATATATATATATATATCATTCTTAAAGTTTATAGTTGATACCATGGCCGACATCACCATGCCATGGCGGGTCCGAGAAAAGTCGCTGGCTTCGGCTCGGCTGGAAATGGCTCGACATGCCACCGGCCAGGTCTTCTCAGGACATGTGGCCATGACCTCGGGAAATTTCGACCAAAAATCCGGGCGATTTCGACCCAAAATATGTGGTTAATATGGGTAATATGGTTGATATAATATAATACTATATAATATATGGTTAATGATGGTTGATAATGGTTGATAATGGTTGATAGTAATGGATGACAGGGGATTAAGCCATAATACATAATATATATATATATACATGTCTGGGTAAATTATAACCGCACTGCGACCTCACTTTTTGATATACTATAATCATACTTAGTGGGGAAACATCCCCAGGATAGCCTTGTTTCAGGCTAGTGAATTATTATAATTCACCCAGATACATGGGTATAGGGCGAAATTAGCTACACTTAGTGAGGCCCCCGCCCACGATAGCGTTTCTAAGTTGGTGCGTTTATAACTCCAATGTCACAAAATGGTTTATGGGATTTATAACGAACTAGTTACTGGGGCGAATCTAAACCAATTTATAACTGGGGGGCCTCACATTGTACCAATAAGAACATGTTAGAACTACTAACAAAAGCCCATTGATAGAATCTTATAATCCCAGTTATAACATGTTATAAGCAGTTATAGTTTTCATAAATGGCCATCATTGCAAAAAAAAACACGCTCGAATTTAAGGTGATGTGATGAATGTCTAGATGAGAGAAAGCCTCTAATCATCCCTAATCTATGATCATATTGTTTTCTTTTAACATGTTTTGAAAAATGACTAATGACTGGAGACCAACTATATGAAACATGGTATATCATGGGAATGGCAAAAGTCATTGAGTACCTCTGTGGACCCATACTTTGTTTTCCATCCATTTCAGGGCTTCGGGTAAATCACCTTATAACATCTCATAATTGGGTATACAGCAATATACAGCAATCCCCAGTAAAAGGATGCCTTTTTACGAAATTTATCACAACTTTTCCAACTCACTATCTACAGGTGTAATGGGGGCCCTCTAGATAGCTAAGTTGGTTTATAACTTCAATAACTAGGGTTTATGGTACTTACAACTATAGTATTCATGGGGTTAACAAAAACCAACGTTCACATCACTGGGGGGCTCCACATTGTAGGAATTGACCAACTTCCATCTTTTTGGGGCTTCCTATTTTTTCAATGATTTCCAATGCCAACGCCCAAGGTATCACCGACAGAATCAACAGAAGCTGCAACAAAAACCACCGACTTTGGGATGAGCCAAATAACCAGCCATAGCTAAATTTCTATGTTCATGTCATAACATTGAAATTTTCGCAATTCGTAGGTGTTTAAAAAAAAAATCACCTCCTTTGCCCCAACGGAAGTGGCACCTCACATCCAGCTTTTTCACAAGATCCGCTTTCGACCTCGCAATTCGATGGCCATTCCAATGCGGCCAAGTCACCGTTCTTGGCTGGACATGAGACCAAACAATGGCAATTATCATTAATTAACTCATTACCCTCTAGTAAACTATAACATATGGACCATCACCATGTTTAATGGGTACAGCAACAAAAAATGGGCATGTTCAATAGCTATGTTAGTTTGCCAGAGGGGAAGCAACTGGCCAAACTATTTTCAGTAGACAGACGTAACCGTTCTGAAACATTTCGAAACCCCACAAACCCATGCTTCAACCAAAGAAGTGATTGTGCGAAGGTGAGTGAACCTCTGCGTGTGCTTGATCTTGTCCATGTCGGTAGGACATGCTGATCTTCTAGTTGTGAACTGGCCAATTGGCCATACATCTCCCTATATCAAAGCCCCAAAGCCTCAGTTCTACCGAGTGATGTGACGTGATGCCGCCCAAGCACAACTGCCAGACGTGTCCATGCAGAAACGAGGCCAACGCAGGCGAACGCCCAAGCGAACGCACGGAACATCGACCCTTTTGCCGATCATGGCGTCATGTGGGGAACTCACTGCCATAAACCATGACTGGGGATAATTTATACATGTTTATAACATCCGTAGAGTCGTGGTGTTTTTTGGGATGGTTTATGAAATTGAGTGTCATGGCTTGACCACATTAATATATATTAATATATATATATATTGATATACATACTTGGATATCTTATTCAGAATTCAGCATGGCTCCAAGATTGTTTTGTTCTGCAAAATATGAGTTCGTCACTTGGGATGATGACATTCCCAACTGAATGGAAAGTCATAAAATTCCATGGTTCCAGTCACCACCAACCAGTATTCCCTTTCGTGCTTGCCAAGGGGGAACACGCCTGCAACATTCGGATTGACATTGACCAACAAATCACTGGGCGATTTGTTAGCTGCTTTGAAGTGGCACCCAGGTTGGAGACGTCTATCTTTGCAACAAATGTCCCAAATGTGGGCAAATACCAAAAAAGGGAGCACAGCGGGGGACAAGGATGGTACCCGGGGAAATGACGTGAAACAGTCAGGAAGTTACCACGAAGTTATCACACAACAGTGGCTGATACTCCTTGGTCTTAAATCGAGCGGTCGTGTTGGTGAAGTTTAAAATGCCACTGATTGATGGTTGGTGCTGCGATATCTTTCAGGTACGCTTTAGTTCCTATCTACGGTAGCGCAGTTTGTTTGATTCTATAGAACTGTACATCATTGTATCTCCCTATTTTTGAATGTATCTAACCCACTGGTGTCCATTTCTATTAGCCTTGCATGAATAGCCCATGGAAATCCGTGACAACTTTTTCTTGCCGTGGGGTTCACCGCAGGGTGTGGTCTACACCTGGCAAAAACGCAGAGTGAAAAACCGAGAGAAACATTGGTATATCTTTGTAACGAGGATAGTAAGGGATGGCTAAAGTGATACAAATCCTGGAAATTGCTGTGTTTCTGTGGGAAAATAGATGGTTTCCAGGATGGTTTCACAGGCATTCCGAGTTGTGGTGAATCACCCTAGGGGAAAAACAACAACAACATTTATTGACATGAGTTTCCCGTGACGGATCTTGCTGGTTCCCCGACCTGGCCTGATTTACTGAAATTACCTGCTAATCAAACACATAGCTATGGAAAAAAAACAGTTATATTCAAGGTAAATCGGTAAACATATGTAAACATATGATTCACATATGTAAACATCATCTTGAAACGGACCATGTTCATCCATTTTACATAGCAAACTGTCAAAAACACCAGAGGCTAAGAGGATTTTCAATCGACAGCTATGAGGTCAGCAGACCTGCTACCCATTCAACATCTCTACTGAGGCCGTGGAAGTGAGCGTTAAATGTCACAACGACTTTGTCAGAAAATGTTGGGAAAACCCCATGAGCCATTGCCATCCGATTGATCATCATTATCCCTCTTAAATGACCTATATTGGAGGTATATCCCCCAGACACATCCATATATTGATGAATCGTAGTAATATCATGTAATATACTAACCCTCTCAATCCAGAATCCAAAACAGAAATGGTATTTACCATAGTAGGATTTCACTTACCTTTTCTGGCTTGCTGACAGCTAATCACGGTCTTCACAGCTGTCTCATACACCGGTCCTTTCAATTCACTGAAGGTATAAATTGGTGACACTCAGTTGCATTCATTCCATCTCAAGCACATCAGTTGCATTCATTCCATCTCAATAGCTCTCAAAGAAAAGAGTGCATTCATGATTGGAAGATTGGAAGAAACACAGATATCTACAGATTACATCAACAATTTCCCACAATTTTCTACATTTTTCATGCTCCATCTTGCAATTGGAATCAAAGATTATCAACGAAACTTCCTTCAGACTCGGGTACCTCGGGTACGCAGGACCGGTAACATCGGTAAGGGCTGCCGCCTTTGTTGGAACGCAAGGAACTTGGTGTTTCTCCAATGTCTCTTGCAATTCATCCAGCCTGGCGTATCAAGCTAATGTGGTTTAAACAATGTCATAAACCACCCAGGGAATTGTTTATACCACCCATTTATGGTGAAATTGGGGATAATTTTACGATTGTTTTACCCAAATCATAGATGTTTATAGTTAATATCACTTATCAAATCTCACAAGCTTTAGTTATATTAACTAATGACTAATGGCTATATATATATATATAGCTGTATAAACTAAAAACTTGGGATGTACCTGGTTCGGTCTTTGGATTGGGAAAACCAGGGCATAAGGTCCGATCACGGGGTGCCACCGGCAATGCCACAGAGGCAATTTCTGAAGCCGCGATGTGTAGCGTGCTGTAATGAAATCGGATAACATATATTGATTGTAAATGATTGTAAGATATATGGAGGTTTCCTATACTAGAGGTACCCACATAGCTGGATGGTTTATTTCATGGAAAATCCAATCTATAATAAATATTGTAAATGGATATAAATGGATGAGAACTGGGGGTAGCCCTATGACTTTGGACACCTCCATGTTGTAGCCTCCATGGGTCTAAAGAAATCAACCTCAAGATTTCCCAAAACCAGCAAGATTGGCCCAAAACCAAGGATGCGACTAAGCACAAAGCCTACATCGAATTTCAATGCAACTTCATTCTGTGTATGCTTCATCAGTTTTCCCCATGGTTTTCCCATGGTTTTCCCATGTTTCCCCATGGTTTTCCCATGTTTCATCATGGCTTTCCCATGTTTCATCAGCACTGTTTCACCATGTTTCTGCTCGGCTGCACCTCGGGCGCCTTTGGCCCACCAGGGCTTCGTAATGACCAGGAAGATAGCCTCGCTTTATACGTTTGACGCGCAAAACAAAAAGCGGCGCCGGGAACATCAGGAGACGCGAAATGACATGGAAAATCCTCTAAATGTTGATACATGCTGAATGTAGTGGATATATACCATCGTAAGCATATAATAGGGATTTAATGGGAAACAACCACCTTCCCCGGCAATTGTTTCAATCCTCGAACTCAACGAGACCCGTTGCGGCTTGATCTTGTGGGATGATAGCATCATGATGGCCTTCACACCTGAAAAAGGACGGATTTAGAATGACAAATGCTGGTGGAATTTGGGATTTGACCATGAACAGTTGCGTTTTTCCCAATTTTGGGGTGTGTCCAATCACAATATCGATCCAAATACAAAGTGTGGATACAACGCTGTCAAAGCAATCTATTGGTGACTTAACTTTATCTTCAAAACATATTTAAAGAAAACCACAATACCCGAAATCCAATGGTTTATCATCCTGTCCCATATTTTTTCACTATTACTTAGTGATACTTAGTGACTATTTTGTAGTTGAACCCCATTGTTGGGGAAACAAGCATGGGAATTATATAATTAATTCCTACATTTCCTCAATTATGTCCATCCTCTGCTATCGATCAGTAACCACTAAACGACGGATATTTTGGGGTGACATCCACCTTCTCCATCAAATTACTATTTTGTGTGCTGTATCCCCAAGAACATTAGTCAAAAGCCTCTCGCGATCTTGGTCAAACATGGCTTGCCAAATGTTGCCAATTAAATCACCGATTTGCGGAATGTCTGTTGAAAATTAAAATATGGTTTTCCCTGCCAGGTTGTATTACAAAGGAAAGCCTTGCCTAGAGCAACCAGATCAATCAGTTGCAAACCTGGAAATTGTGAGCCTATACTTGTCCATCTATCTGATTCCAAAGTTCAAAGACCTAAATGAACTAATACAAGTTCCAGGTCGGAAATTGTCAAAGAAAATATGGAGTTGCCTTAAAAACAAAAAACACAATATTTTGGAACTGCCTTTTTCTACTTGCTTTTCTCTTAATTGATTTACCTTGGGTGTTACCCTTGTTTAGAGATGAGTGTCCTGTATTTGGCTTTGTCTGAAATTAAGGTATCAGCAAATGTGGTATTTGTCATTATTTCATGGCTATTTCATGCCTAACCCATAGGTAAATGGATACATTATTTGCTGGCTATTTGATGGCTATCTGATGGCTATCTGATGGCTATTTGATGGCTATTTGATGGCTATTTCATGGCTATTTCATGCCTAACCCATAGGTAAATGGATACATGATTTGATGGCTATTTCACGGGTATTTGATGGCTATCTGATGGCTATTTCGTGGCTATTTCATGGCTATTTCATGATTATTTCCTATTGTGTATACCTCATTTTCAGACACACCCATTGTTTCACCGCTGGACGCACCTTCAACGACACACCAACCTTCCGTGTCGCCAACGCCGAGCTACGAAGGGTCAAGAGATTACTCCGTTGTTCCTCGCCTCTGTCGGCTCCACTCGGATAATGTCGCCCTGCAACGCCGCCATGGCACACGAAAAATGGCCATCCAGGAACTGAAGAATGGGAGCTCCCTACCATACAGGGCCTACTTCTCAGGGTTTGTCAGGCCCAACATATAGCTTATATGGTACTAACGTACCTCTATTCTACAATGTGGAGCCCCCTCAGTTATAAGTTGGTTTAGAAACCCCATTCACTATAGTTGTAAGTATCATAAACCCTAGTTATTGAAGTTATTTGCACCAACTTAGCTATCGTATGGGGGCCCCACATTGTAGGATCTTGAACTCCCAAAAGGATACACTAGACATTCGGGATATGACGATATGATCAGGATATGTGACCAAAAACTAAATGACCATATAATGTTTATTGATGTGTACAGTATATGATATATGTATATATATTCATGCATATATTCTGGGCAAATTATAATAATTCACTAACCTGAATCTTGCAGCCATTTGGGGATGATTCCCCTTATTAACCATGATTTCCAGTGAGGTCGCAGTGAGGTCGTTATAATTTACCCATATATATATAGATGGTACAGCATTAAATAGTCGATATCTGAAGAATGGTCAATTGATAAAATTCCAAAGGTCCCGGTGACTTTCGAAGTGGTTTCTTTTGTGGCTTTATTGATGTGTGGAAGTAACTCTGATAAAATCTAGGGACCCTCACCTGCCAGGTGGGGAAATCAGTGATGAATATATGTAAATATATATATATACATAATTTGACACATTTAGCCAGTTATAGAATGTTATAGAGCAACAACTACTAGTCATTATTAATCATCAGGAATCATCATTACAATTCATTGCTAATCATGACTAGTCATTATCACTCATTACAATTCATTACTAATCATTTTAAGAATCACTATACTGATCCCTTTCCCCCGAATACTAAACACCCCCCCAGATACCATGATGGAGCATGGAGTCCCAGTGAACCCCACGCTGACGCGTCGCCGGGTGCAACGTCGAGCCGTTTTGTTTCTCGGTGAAACCAAAGGTGCACGGCACTGCAAAATATGCTTTGAAAATGCCTGGAAGGAGGAGCTCTTGAAGAGGAAAATGGTACAAGGTGGTGTTCCATAATGCCATAGTCAGCTAAGTTGACTTATAACTTGTTTAACTATGGCATATGGTAGATTAATATGTATAGTTACTATGTTTTAACCAACGTATAACTGGGGGGCACAACCTTGGATGTATGCTTATAGAATGGTTATAGTCATATATGTGTATATGATATATGTGTATAGAAATATTTAAGAAGCTACTCCAAAAGGCAATTTTTGAGTCCAATGCATACGACCATTTGCAGAGTAGAAAAGATATATTTACCAACCAAGCCATGATTAACGCGGCATATCTACACATGAATGCATATGCATGCACATAACATGTTTCTAGAAACTACATGTGAAGACGTGGCAGATGGATCAAGAGGTAGTCCCGTTGGCACTTGAGGGCTGATATTGGACCCGTGGATTATCTGGCCAACATCTGGAGTGGTCTATAGGGATATGTTCAGCATCCAGAGTGGTAATAGCATGTAATAGTTGACCATAGCAATCCAGATGAACATCTATCATGGGTAAAAAAAAGTGTGTGTTTTGAGCCACTTGAAAAATCAATTCGAAAAGGAGGCAGAGCAGATTCAAAGGCTTTTATGTTCTAATGATTCTAATGGAACTCAGCAGTTGTTACCAATGAAAACCAGCGGCATTGCTCCACTTTCCAGGTGAAAACAAGTGAATCATGGCAAAAAAAAGGCACCGTTTGAAAAACAGTCAGGAGCTTCGGTCTGTTTTTTCAGGCCGCTCCGATCCGTCCGTTTTCGCGCCGTCGCTGCTTCGTTTCAGAAAGCAACGGCAAAACAACGCCCTAGTTGTGGCTGGCTTAGGATTGGCCTAGGGGGGATCGCTCCACTTCATAAAAGACATCGCTGACATATATAGGATCATATATTTATATTTATTTATATAGTTACTATAGTTACTTCAGTTATAAAGTTACTATAGTTATAGTTATTTTACTATAGTTATATTTATAATTAGTTACTATACCCTCTGGTAAACTAACATAACTATGGAAAATCACCATGCTATTAATGGGAAAACTCACTATAAATGGTGATTTTCAATAGCTTTTTGTATGTTTACCAGAGGGTAGTTACTATAGTTAGTTCAGCCATGTAGGCTTTTTGCATGGATAAGCCACGAATCGAGGACTTGCTGACTTGCTCACACGCACTAACCAGCTACTAAGTGGGATAATTCTCCGTGGTGTTGACACCGAAGAGCTACATGATACAGAAGCCCCTCATCACCAGACGCCCGAGGTCTATGACGTCTATGATCGAAAAAGAAGGGGCCATCTGAGAATTGACTTCTTGCCCATATGTTCTCTGTACACTTTGACATTTGAAACATGATCCAGAAACACCACTTGAGATCTTGAAACTTTGCATGGACCCACTGTTGATGCTTCAAGCATCATGTGTTTATATAATTTTAATTGATTTTATATGTGCATGGGCTGCATGGGCCAATTACAGCTATCTGCCTGAATATGAACATACACTATCGCAAAAAAATCATCACATCTTTTCCCACTGAAGGTGTTTTGTCATCAAAACACATATTGTTCCTGCTGCCCCCCATCGGAGGTGGAAGGCTCCCGCCACCCCGCCGACATGCGCTAAGCGAATTCCTCGGAGCATCACAAGTCCTGTGGCCGGATCTTGAAACGGGCCACAGCCGCTACAGACACTAAAGATGGGTTAGATGGCTTTGTTTTTTCAGATTTCACGAGGAAACCAATATGAGGATCATATCCTGCACACTGTTTCACCGACTTCATGGGAGTGGAATATGATATGAGGATAATAAGTGATCATATCCTACACTACACTGTTTCACCGAATGGGAGATAGTGGGGCTCAATACTTGGGTAAGGTGAAGTCATCCGAGGAACAGTCAGACACTCGAGTCAGCGTATGTGTTTTTGGTGAGATGTGAACATCAAAAATTGTGCCAAAAAATAGTCTGGTTGGTGGTTTGAACCTACCCCTCTGAAAAATCATGGAGTTCGTCAGTTGGGATGAAATGACATTCCCAACTGAATGGAAAGTCATAAAATTCCATGGTTCCAAACTTGCAACCAGGGGACATTTACCCTCTGGTAAACTAACATAACTATGGGAAATCACCATTTTTCATTGGGTAAATCAACTATAAATAGCCATCAACCAACCATTACTAACCATTACTAACCATTACTAATCATTACTAATCACTACCAACCATTACTAACCATTACTAACCACTACTAACCATTACTAACCATTACTAACCATTACTAACCACTATTATTCACCACTAGTTACAGTAAATGACTGTTTCGTGTTTTTAAAAATTTATGATACCCTCTGGTAAATTAACAGTTGGACCCTGAAAATAGCATAGTTTTAATGGAAACTAATCTTACAACCCCTATCTGCCAGGGTCGTCATGTTAATTTACCAGAGAGTATCTTCGAATGCCCTTTATCACACAAAACCCACCGGATCAGATCCCAAGGGATCCGAATCGGATCCAAAAACATCTCAGGGAAGCAGCCAAAGCGGTACTACCATGGAAAAACCCTCTGTAGTAATGACTAACATAATGTGACATAGCAAGAAAATGCCCCACCCAGATGCTCCATATATGGAATATTTACCATTATTTACCCACAAAACTGGGGATTTTTTTGGGTAAATGTAGGTAAATATTCCATACATGGAGCATTTGGGCCATGTATGGTTGATTTACCGATTCAAACTGGTGATGTTCTATAGTTACCTATAGTTGGGTAAACGTTTACCAGAGAGTAATCCCCATTCTATCCCCTATAAATCCCTATAAATCCCCATGGTATCCACACTGTTGGCACAAAGAAAAAAAACATGCTGGCAGATAGCTCGTTTTGGCACCAACAAAAACTCAGCCATCCTTCATCATCCACCAGCCATCCCAGGTCCCAAAGCGTTGAGGAAAAGTCCCTACCTTCACAGGCTGAATGACAATCAACCAACCATAAATTAACTGATTGGTGGTTTTAACCATCTTGAAAAATATTAGTCAATGGAAAGGATTATCCCATATATTATATTATGGAAAATAAAAAATGATTGAAACCACCAACCAGATAATTTCATGTCACATCTGCTGAAAAATGGCAACCGTATCCCCATCACGATAGCGACTGGTAATTGCTAATGTTGAAACATATCACCTGTAAGCTCACTTTTGGTTTTGCATTATCCATCTGTCAAGTCTATACATATACAATCATATATATATATATTCATATATCATATATCTAAACAGTCTATACATTATAAATCAATAATAAATCATACCATAATTCACTGAGACAGTCGGCCACCACGTGGATGTTTTCGCGAAACCAGTCCTTGATCGACTCTTGTACCAGTCGTGCGATGTGAGTCACCCTCAAACTGATGCCCACAATGTCCTGATGCTGTGTGCTTCGAACACACAAACATACGCCAAAAACATCAGGAAGTACCCTCTGGTAAACTAACATAACTAATTATGGAAAATCACCATGCTTAATGGGTAAATCAACGAAGAAAATGGTTATCTTCAATAGCTATGTTAGTCATTACAAGTACCAGAGGGTTTAGGGTTTCCTCGAATTTCACGGTTTCGTGAATTGGACTGTCCGAAGCACGAAACAGCAACGACCAAGCAGAAATGGGATCAACATAAGAATGGGATGAGACATGGGAACTACATTTGGCATCAGTTTTAAAGCTGCTTCTGTGTCCACCAACGTTAGCCACTTCTGTGTGTAACATGTGCATATTGTTTTTTCCCCTCGGAACAGCATACTCTTGTTTTCCCATGATGATATCAATCTTTTCTCTACTCCAGCAACCAACATCCCATCAAATCCCATCTACTTGATGAAATGCTAAACCAATGACTCACACCGTTAAGAACCCAAAATGCTTGGTAAATCATTGGTCACTAGCAGATCATGTCATGCCTATTCTGGTAACATAAAACTAGCTGGTAGATGGATGTTCATCTCCCTCAGATCTCGAGGTTTCCTCAGTAATGGGGGTAACAATTTTTAATCATCCATTTATAGATAGGGATTTTCCATGAAACCATCCAGCGAGCTTGGAACCAGCAACCAGCAACCAGCAACCAGCACTTTTTCGCCCAAGAAACTCCCTTGGTTGGAGGCCCACGTAGTTGCATTAGCCCGTTATAGACCTGGGCCCAAGGGGGTCCAAAGAGATGAAGGAAGGGTAAACGGTTGCAGTTCAACAATGGACTATCTCATCCCCCCCAAAATCCTACGACCATTTGGTAAAAACAGTAAACACAATGGCTTTCTGAATGCCTGCCCGGGAGCCTCTATTTTTGAAGCTGTGAATTGGTGAGTGGTTCATTCCCGTGGCCCCCAAAATGATGATCCTCCGATTTGCCCATGGCGGAAGGCAAACTTTTTTGCAGATCACCAACCTCACCAACCTCCTTGCGGGCAGCCAAGAAAAAAATGGTTTCATCTCTCTTGATCGCAAGTTGGGCCACTTAGTTATAAGTTGGCTTATCAACGCAACAGCAGCAAGTGTTCACCAACCTGGCTATTTTCCTGGGGAGGTCTCACCTTGGGACACACGATGATTCCAACATTAGCGCCCAGGACAAGCAGCTTCATCAGTGCTCAATGAACCACCCATGTCCTTGGTTCCAGTTCGGTGAATCTGGAGCTGTAGGACACTGCCGCAGCCCAAAATGGCCGCCCCAAAATGGAAAGCAACAGATTGATCCTCTGGGAACATCAAAAATGAATCACTAGACATCAGCATGAATTATTTCTATGAAACGATTACTAATGTCTAATAGCCAAAACAATAATGAAACCACCAATTACCCTCCAGTAAATTAACATGACGACCCTGGTAGATAAGGGTTGGAAGATTAGTTTCCACTAAACATGGGTTATTTTCAGGGTCCAACTTTTAATTTACCAGAGGGTATACAGTATAAAGTGTCCAAACGATCTTTTTGGCCATGTTTGACATCAGTAGACAGAATCGGATGTCACACTTACGTCCCAGGGCTACATGGAAGCTTTAGATTTACCAAGTTCAGCAAGTACCCTCTGGTAAACATACAAAAAACTATGGAAAATCACCATTTTTAATGGGTATGTAAATCCACTATTTCTATGGCCATGTTCAATAGCAAACTGTTTGTCACTATAAATGGGCCATTTTCAATAGCAAACTGTTAGTCATTACCAGAGGGTAAATATGATTCCCAATATTTATCACATAACACATACACATTTCAACCACCACATCGAAAATTTAGGCATATATCTACACATGCGATTTACCAGTACCCCATACTACAAGTATGTAACAATCACATAAAAATCATCGTATACTCATATCCATACCATTTATCAATCCCATACCATACTATGATATTACCATACTATGTACTATGTAATGGTCCCATACGCATACCCTGGGGTAAACGAACATAGATGTGGAAAATGACCCATGTATAGATGATTACCTATTTTCAAAAATGTGTTACCCTCTGGTAATTTAACATAGCCATTGAAAATGACCATTTATAGTGGATTTTCCCACTAAGCATTGTGATTTTCCATAGTTATTTAAACCTTTACCAGAGGGTAATTTCCACATCTATGCTAGTTTGAAGGATGGTATTTACATCAGTGAGAAGTTCAAACCCCCAAAATGGAGGTACATTAGTACCATCCAAGGCCATATTTTGTGGGGATATTTATTCCCTGAAATTTCGCCCTAAAAAATAGGCCATATATTGCCATATTTTCATAGTCCCATGGCCATTGACATACTGTGGATGGGCTAGCAAAATCACCAGTTGGTGGTCAACATCCCATTATTTATAGGGTTTCAACCATCCAAAATTGGTGGTTTTTAGGATTTCGCTGGCCCATCCACAGTATGGTTTTCCTATGGTTTTCCGAAACGGTTTTCCTATGGTTTTCTAGGGGTTTCCTGGGAACAACCGCAACATCCACCGTATGATTTACCCGTCTCCCATCGATTTCTTTGCAGCTGACTGCATCCATGAGGTCAAACAACCTCGGCGGATGGGACGACCCTAAAAAAGAAAAAACGTGTTCCGTACATGCCTATCTATGCATGTGTATAGATAGATAGATAGATAGATAGATAGATAGATAGATAGATAGATAGATAGATAGATATGTATATATATATACATACTGTATATATATATACATACTGTATATATATATATATACATACTGTATATATATATATATAATGGCAATGTGTATGTGTATCTATATATACATATATGTTACACCCCCCAAGAACGGTGATTCAGATTTGTCATTGTTTGAACAAATTGGATGAGAACCAGGTGATGAATTTGCTGAGATGGTTTGGAAGGCAAGAGGCATGGACAAGAGTTGCCAGAGGATGTGGAATCAGATGCGCTACCAACTGTGCTAATCGCCCAACTAGAGTATCTATAATTTATTCAAAATAATCAAGTACTAGTTTGAATTTTGTTTTATAAGTATAACAAAAAATATTAAGTTTATAACTATAGTTTATAATAAAAATATTGGAATATTGTCTATGGCTTGAAAAAAACAAGGAACATTTGATTTAAATACTAAAAAAAACAGGCAAAGAGAATGTATAAAAGCACAAGAAGTAATACATTTGTATAGCGATGTCAAACGCTACAAATTATTACTAGAGAATCTAAACAAAGAAACAAACTTAGCAAAACAATGTTATAAAAACTAATAATTCAATTTTGACAAAATAGCTCATAAATTAGAGTCAGATCAAATAGATCAAAGATATTCACAATATTTGTCACAATATAAAAAGTTAAAAGCTATAACTTACCCAAAATCTTAGATAATATACCAAACATGTTATTGGAAGATGTGCCTGTTGGTATGTCTGAACAAGATAATGAGTTAATCAAACACTATACATTTGACAATAAAAATGATAGTAATGTGTTTCATTTAGATATTGCATTACAAATACAATCGGTAGAATCGGAAAAGAAACACTTTTAATGTCTGGTAGAAGGTTCATTACATTAAAAAAAACACATTTATCTAAAATGTCACATGCATCAATCAATTTTATGCTTGATACTCATATTTCAGATTTTGGTTTTGAAGAAGCTAGCCCTCCTTTAATTACTCAATCTCAAGCAATGTATAATTCAGGTCCATCGCCTAAATTTAGTGATGCATCCTTTGTGATTGATACTGGCAGTAGACTGATTCCAACATCTGAGGTTACTTTAGTAAATTTAGCAACTGAAAAAGTTTTTACTGAAGTGAATTGCCTGTTAGATACACTGCTGCGACATATTGCTTTAGATCTGAAGCAGGTAGTGCAGGTAGAGATACTAGAGGTTCTATTAGACTGCACCAATTCTCCAAGGTAGAGTTAGTTAGCATTTGCACACCGAATCAGTCACAAAGGGAGCATGAGTTAATTTTGCATGCTGCAGAAAAACCATATAAAAAAAACTTGAATTGTCTTACAGAGTATTATTACTTTGCTCTATTCACACACCCTTTTCCTCTAAAAAAACTTATGATATAGAGGTATGGATGCCTGGGCAAAAAACTATTTTGAAATTCCTAGTTGTTCTCAATGCGGTACTTTTCAATCTCGAAGATTAAAAGCTGTTTGTTCATCAAATAATCACAAGGATTTTGTTCACACACACATTAAACGGTACCGGAGTTGCCATAGAAAGAATATTAGCTGCAATTTTAGAAAACTATCACGATAATAATGTTTTATATATATCGAAGGTATTGCACAACTATATGGGAATAGACAAATAACCATAGATTAATTTGTTCTTCTGAGTTCTTGGTGCACACATGCAAGGGATAGATGGGAACATCAATATCTTTGAGAAATTCTACACACAAAAAAAAAACACGTATTTTTAATTAGGTTTTGGAATTTGTGGGGGTGCCATATAGATTTGGACCTTGCGCGAACCTTGCGCAAAATTCAGGATGTTTGAAGTCTTCAAGGGTCAAGAGTCAAGATTACACGCAACAATTTAACTCCATGTCCATTGCCTATTACCATTCAAAATCCATGGCATCCATTCAAAATCTTGTTTGCTTAAACTGACTATACCTTTGCAAGCCAGAGGGCCGACATACCAAGCAAACAATACAACAAGGAAGCAACGGAACTCGTCACCCATCTCGTCTCGTTCCATTATGTTGTGTAACCCTTTTCGTTGTATATTCATTTATTGAGGTTTCAATTATCTACGTGATTTCGGGCTTGCGCGAAGCTTGCGCGTACATGAGCTTGCGCGAAGCTTGTGAAAAGCTTGCGCGCGTGTGACACCATTCAATTTTTCAAAGAATAAATTCCACCGAATACTAACATCAATTGCCGGCAGTTTTGAACGTGGCTCAATTAAAAACACGTGTTTTTTTTGTGCGTAGGATTTCTCAAAGATATTGTGTGGTATGTTTGACTCATATCCAAGACATATCTCATCACTATTGCAAACTTACTACACTGATCTTGGGGGGTGTACCATATATAAATATATACATACAGTATGTATATATGTATATATGTAATTAAGTGTAATTATAAAAATATGCATTCATAAACAAGAAGAACAAACTCTCCAAACAACTAAACAACTTGAAGAATTTCCTCTGTCATCCCGTGCAAGCCAATTATATTCCTTGACATCCCTTGGAATTCAAAAGAGCCATGGCCAGTCTTAGATATCCTGACAATAAAAGCATTTAGGTTCGTATGCTAAGAGATTCAGATGTATGGGAAAGCATAGAGTACTAAACCACAACCAAACTACCTCCAATCTGGCAAATGGGAGGGAAAACATTTTAGCAACCCCCAAAAAGATAGAAAAGTGTCTCCAGCATGGTACAATGTGGAGCCCCCCAGTTATAAAAACCCTAGTTATTGAAGTTATAAACCAACTTAGCTATCTAGGGGGCCCCACATTGTATAGATGATAAGTTCCCTGAATGTTCCGAGTTTCCAACTTTTCTACCTTTTCGGGGCTTACATGCTTGGCCAAATCATGAAAATCCGTGACGTCCGCGAAACGTGGATTTGTTGTGGATGTCGATGTCAGCATCCTCCAAGACGCGCAAAAATTCGCGATCTTGGAGCCATACCTTGGCCGCACGGGATACCCATGGTTTTCCGGTGGAACATGTCCCGCTGGTATTTTGTTTTTTACATGGCTATAGATGGCCTATTTATAGATCATTTACTGAACTAAACATGCTGATTCTTCGTAGCTATGTTAGATTACCGGAGTGCCAAAATGATTAGAGAACTCAAAAAAAATCAGGCTGAAAAACATCCGAGAATTCAAGATACAAACTGATACAAAGTTCAAAAGACCAACTGACACTTAGCCCCTCCAAGTAGCCATAATTTAAATAAGTATTATTCTCACAGCACCTAAATCTAAATATCTAACACCATCAGACTGTTGCTTCGATCATCGACCCTTGCGAGGTGCTCGAAAGGCATCACGGCTGATGACCACATCCGTGTCTAAGAGGCAATCGAACTGGGCTCGTACTTTGGCCTTGCGAGTCGGCGCCGATCATCCCAAGAAGGATATCATTTCTGGCTATGACTGAGGCCCCCCAGATATGTGTGGTGAACGTTGGCCACGAAAAATCACATAAAAACACCATTGATCCCATCAAGCTCCCATTAGTTCCTACAATGTGAGGCCCCCAAGATATAAGTTGGTTTAGATTTGCCCCAGTAACTATAGTTATAAATACCATAAACCGTAGTGAAATTGGAGTTATTTGCACCAACTGAACGCTATCGAACGGGGGCCTCACATTGTAGCTATGACTAACAGTTCGCCATGGTTACATAAGCCATGGCCCATAGAAATAGATGGTTTACCTGGGTTACCTATCGAAAATGGTGATTTTCCATGGCTATGTCAGTCATAACCAGATGGTATCATGCACATATGCGAACCATGGTGCTGGAATATGCACACCGACATCTACCCTTGCCCAAAATCACCCAGTTTTGTAGGTGAATATACCAGCACCATGGTTCGCATATGGGATATATATATATATATATCACTGGGATACCGAAATTCAGACTGTACAGAAAAGGGAAATGGAAAGAAATAAGGATATCATTGGGATATATAATGATATATATATATATATAGACATCATATATATGATATACCAACACTAGCAAAACAACGTGATGTTGTGGTGTGGCGGGGCTGAAAATAGTGGATTTTGTCATTTTGTCCCCAACTCATGGCCATTCAAGCCACGGAAGAACACAATGATGATCTGTTTACAGACAAAACAATATGTTGGGTTAATATGTGGTTTATATACTGTTAATAATGCTTAACATATGGTTAACATATGGTTATTGTATGGTTATTATATGGTTAATGATGGTTCACAATAATCTGGTCGGTGGTATACCTACCCCTCTGAAAAATCATGGGGTGAAAGTCAGTTGGGATGATGACATTCCCACCTGAATGGAAAGTCATAAAATTCCATGGTTCCAAACCACCAACCAGACATAATTCCACAATTCCTATCATAGCGGTAGCTGGAAAGTAGGAACAACTGTGTCTTACAGTGTCTGAAATCAAATATGTTGGCATCACCCCAACTGATAGAGACCCTGAGACGATCGTTTTTTTCGAGGACAGTATTGGTCCAACCCTCGTTTGGCAGGTTG